TATTCAAAATCATACAAACCCAAGTCCAGAGTACTATAAGTGACGGGTCAAAATCGGAATAGCTATAGATGATTTCAAAATTTGAAGATCTCGCCGCCGACGATGTCGCCCTTAGTCAACAATACATGATGTCGCCATTGAAGATCAACACTCTCAATTAAACGATAGATTACATTTTAAATCTGTATAAATCTGTATCAGATTTAGAGAGTTTCATTGAGATTTGTAAGTGTTGTTGGAGTTTTAGAGGTTTTGCTTTAATTACGTGTTTGATTATTGTTCGAGTTAAATCAGGTATGTTGATTTGTTGATTAGTTTTTTTATTTTTATTTTTTATTGTGTATGATCTGATTTTGTTTGACAGAATGAAAGTAAAATTTTAATGTAGTATGTGCTCTGTTTTTGTTTGACAAAATGAGAGTAAAATTTTACTCTGGTATGTACTATGTTTTTATTTGATGAAATGAGAGTAAAATTTTATTCTGGTATGTTCGATTGACCGTTTTCAGAGCTACGAGTTCAAGCGATAAAACAGAGTGAAGGAGACAAACGGTTCCGTCATTTGATATTTGCCCATTTATATAAAAGGGTATTTCAGTTTTTTCACTATATATTTTTTTATTTAATGAATTTTTAGAACCATTATTTTATTCCACGGGCTTCACACAAAAAAATCCTTGATAAGAGGGCTTTTCACCAAAAATTCCCTTATTTTTTAGTAGAAAGCCCACCTACGAAAAAATCCAGCCCAGATCAGCCTAACCCAGCCCACTTTCTCAACCTGTAATTTCACAAGTCTAATTGAACCAAATTTGTCATCCCTTTCTCTCTCTCAAAAACCCTAAATCCTCTCTGCACTCGAATTCACAAACCCTACCTTTCAATCACTGAGATTACCGCAAATAAATTTGTAATCACTAAGATTACACCTAAATTTTACCACTAAAAATTTTGCCAACGATTTATAGTGTAAGCTCATTGATACTTCAACTTTGTGGTGCTCTTAAATGGCACATAGCAGCAAAGATCTTCTGGACTTGGAGCTCAAGAATTCATCTTCATCAAACCTAGGTCTCTCTTTCTTCCTTACTTTTTGCCTAGCTTCTCTCTCTCTCTCTCTCTCTCTCTCATTCAATGTATGTGATATAGTGCAGAATCTACACTTCTTGTCTACAAAAACAACGACTTACAACAGTCGCAAAACTCAAAACCCACACCCCCTGATGGAAAGCCCTTCACTTCCTCTGTTCCCAAAAGCCACGGTACTTTATATTCCCCTATGTCTCTCTCTCTCTCTCTCTCTCTCTCTCTCTATTTATATATATATATATATATATAATGAATGGTAAGCTTTACCTTGAAATATATGCACCAGGACCAGTTAAGCTGCACCCAAGAAAAAAAAAAGAATTGTTTTGTTGGTTGAAGCAGGGTGATGATTGTTAATCCGGTAGTCTTAACTATGAGCAAGTTATATTGAATTCTTTGAAAATTCAAGAGAAGGAAATGTATTGAAATATGGGAAGAGAATTTAATTCAATTATCAAAAGTTATTTGACTCTATTCTAATATTGTTATGGTATTTTGTTTGTTTGTTTGTTTTTGTTTTTTAAAGCTTAGTTGACGAGGTCACTAAGAGAAAGCAATATTTACTTACACCGACTTCGAATCCAATTCAAAGTGCAATACCCATTATTGATAATACTTGATTTTGAAGTTTTGTAAGAATCATTGAAATCATTTGAATATAATATAACAAATTTGGTCTTTCACAAGTTCCACCATTTTGGGGAGGAAGTAATTTGGTCGGCATGGAAGTGAAGGCCTTCATTTCTACTTTAACCCACCAGTTCAATCTCCTTCCTAACAAACAAGGAAAGCGTATACATCCTTACCCTCTTCCTCCCCCATCCCTTTCCTCCCATTTTTCCATCCTACCATGGAACTCTGACGACTTGTTCCAATGGGCATAAAACTAGATAATGAGAAAGAAGAATGGAGGGAGTGATGACTAAATCTTTTTACAAACAATGGAGCCTATCCCCTTTCTCCTCCCAAACAATCATATATATACAATGTATTTAAACATATAATCATATATGGAGTACATCCATTTTCCCCTCCCAAACAATCATATATATACAATGTATTTAAAACATGATCATATTCAGTGATAACCAACCATAGATTAGTTTTAATTCACCTAATCCTCATGCAATTTTTACAACAATCATAGCTATCCTTCACCGATAACCCAATACAGTTATTTCTAAATAGATATACAACCTGAAGATAGATAATTTATTCACAATTTCCAAAGATGAGGCGTACTATCTACCCTCATCCACTATTTATTTCAAAACTCATTCAATTTCATATTTACAACATCAATTTCATTTACTCATACAAAATAAATATTATGATCATTTTAGGGCAAACCCCCTATTTTCTCAAGTATCAACCAAGTAGCATTTTCAAACCCCACAATCATTTATCCCTCATTCATCAAAACCCCTATTTCCATTTTACACTCAAACCCTAGATTTGTTCACATTATCCCAAAATCTCATCATTGTTATACAACGACAAATAACTAAGTTAAAAACCATATTAAAGTATAGAAAATCCATACCTCAAGTTTAGAAGACCAATGGAGTAAGGATGGAACTTCAACAATGTCGAAACTAAACTCTAATCGGATCAAAATGTAGCTTTCAAGGTGCTCTACCCTTTTTCCAAAGACACTAGGGCGGAGAGATCAATAGATTTAGGAGAAAATGTAGAGAGAGAGAGTAAAGATCTAGGTTTTTGGAAAGTTTTAGAGAGAGAGAAGAATGAAAAAGTGATATAAAATATCACTTTCGCGATTTGATATACGCACAGTCCGCTCATGCAGAAGAGTTGACGCTCGAGCATCAGACACAAAAAAGTTGTTCCGCTCGAGCGCAAGAAAGGCCGCTCGAGCACCAAGACGCAACGAATGCTCATCGCTCGAGCACAAGAATTCGCCGCTTGAGCGTAGAAAATACACTTCCAGAACTTTTGCAGACAATAAACCAACACTCGAGCGCAGGAAAGGTCGCTTGAGCATCTACCTGCTCGATTGTAGGAAATGCCGCTCGAGTATAGAAACACTTTTCCAGTAGTTTTGCAGACCTGCGAAGTATTGAGAGTTCGCAAAACCCGCTCGAGCGCAAGAATGACCGCTCAAGCGATAGAGCAAAAATCTGGGCAATAAAGGTTTGGAAAAATAAGCAACCATCTGTTCTAAATGCATAACTACAATCCAATAACCAAAACAGAGGGGATACAAGGGAAACAAGATATGAATCTTTATTCAAAATCATACAAACCCGAGTCCGGAGTACTACAAGTGATGTGTCAAAACCGAAATAGCTATAGATGATTTCAAAATTTGAAGATCTCGCCCTTGGTCAACAATACACAATCTCGCCATTGAAGATCAACACTCTCAATTAAACAAGAGATTACATTTTAAATCTGCATAAATTTGTATCAGATTTAGAGAGTTTCATCGAGATTTGTAAGTGTTGTTGGAGTTTTAGAAGTTTTACTTTAATTACGTGTTTGATTATTGTTCGAGTTAAATCAGGTATGTTGATTTGTTGATTAATTTTATTTTTTATTTTTATTGTGTATGATCTGATTTTGTTTAACAGAATGAAAGTAAAATTTTACTTTGGTATGTGCTCTGTTTTTGTTTGATAGAATGAGAGTAAAATTTTACTCTAGTATGTACTATGTTTTTATTTGATAAAATGAGAGTAAAATTTTATTCTGGTATGTTCGATTGACCGCATTCAGAGCAACGAATTCAAGCGATAAAACAAAGTGAAGGAGACAAACGCTTCCGTCATTTGATATTTGCCCATTTATATAAAAGGGTATTTCAGTTTTTTCACTATATATTTTTTTATTTAATGAACTTTTAGAACCATTATTTTATTCCATGGGTTTTACACAAAAAAATCCCGATAAGAGGGCTTTTCACCAAAAATTTCCTTATTTTTTAGTAGAAAGCCCACCTACGAAAATATCCTGCCCAAACCAGCCCAGATCAGCCTAACCCATCCCACTTTCTCAACCTGTAATTTCACAAGTCTGATTGAACCAAATTTGTCGTCCCTTTCTCCTAGAGATGGCAATCGGAACCCGGCCCGACGGGGACCCGATCTCCCTACCCCGAATTGAGTGGTAATTCCCTAAAAAATAACCCTAACAGGCCAAGGGTGGTATTAAAAATTAAATCCCCGATGATATACGGGCCGGGGACGGGGATACATGTTTCAGCCCCGGATCCGCTCCGACCCCAGTCAGCCCCGGACCTGCCCTGACCCCGGCCCAATCCTCGCCCCGTTTGCCTCGATGTAAAATCACTATTTTGCCCTTATATATATATATATATATATATCTATTCTATTATTAAAAGCCAACACCAATTTTGGTGTCATGAAGCCTAGCTTAGAATTTTTTTCCAATTTTTCCGAAAATGACCATAACTTCTTGAATAATTATATTATTTTTACACTTATATCAGTTTGTAGTTGAGGGTAACATGGGAAATTTAAACCATTCAATTTCACTACCCCACATTTTCCACTACCCCACGTTTCTAAACTGCACAGCAGTTTCAAACCGGGTGACACCAGTTCCAAATCAGGTTCAACATCTTCCAAAAAGTGTTCGTTGCATTTTCCATTTGTTTCGATTTCATTCAAAAGTTCTGTCCATCTTCACTGTATTTGGTAAGTTCTCTTCTGAAAGTTATCCGTATTTGGTAAGTTCTCTTTTGTATTTGGTTCTATCCGATTTCAATTTCACATGTTATGTTATGTGTAGGTATTCTAGACAAAGCATCAAAACTAAAGTGTTGAATTTAAAAATAGTATTAGAGTGGTGCCATATTAATATGGCCATTTAAAAAGAAAAAACTTGACAAAGGATCAAAACTAAGTGTTGTATATCAAACAGTAACATATATGGAAGGAGATCGCTCACTGGGGTGACTTTCCAGCAACCCAATCAACCCAAGAATCGACCTTGTCCTCCTCTGCATCTTCTGTGAATTTCATGCTCTCTGCAGTGTTCCTCTCCCCAACACCAGCACAACTCCACCAACACCGCCGCCGCCGCCGCCACAGCAACAACAACAACAACCACCCACATTATCAACCTCTCCAGAACAAAATGATTATGTAGTTTTGTTTTGGATGCTATACATAGGAACAGTTTCATGCAGTTGTAGTGTGTGTGTCATCTTCCCTTTTTTATTTGGTTAGTTCTGAACATCTTCACTATTTTGTATGTATTTTGCATTTGTTTTTATATGATTATTGGTTTTAATAATGGAATAGATAGATGGGTGTGCTTTATATTTTCTGTACTCAAAAGTTCTGTCAAATTTCTATATGATTAAATGGTGAGTACTTATTCCAATTCATTTTTTTTAAAAGCTTTTGGTGATTGTGTGTTTGTGTGTAGATTCTGCAACAAGGATGAGGTCGGAAAAACAGTAGCCATAATAGTAGGCGTCTTGGCCGGTCTCGCCGTTTTGATATGTAATAACCCTCCCCACTGCTTACCGATAAACATTGATTACCGCTAAACTGAACTGATTATGACTGCTAATTGAACTGATTAAAGTACTGAACTGACTGACTGAAAACTGGAACTGAATTGACTGTGTACGTATGTTAATTTGTATTCTATCTGTTTGATTGTTTATTTGATCTGTTCACGTTTTATGTTTCAACTGCTAATTGAAGGCCTTATCGGCGGCCGAACCGAGAATTGATTGATGTTTTATGATCCTCATAATTAATGTGACTTTATGGTAAATTTATCTGAAAACTGATTAGGTATGATTAAATTAGATTAAATATTGATGGATTGCAAGTTTTGGACTTAATTACCATTAGACCACTTAGTGGCCACTACTCCACACATGTTGAGCCTTGTATACACTTAAATCAAAACATTTCCTCAGCCTTGTTTGAGCACTCAGCCGAATTTAGAGAGAGAGGAAGTGAGAGACTTGAGTTCACCTGTAAATTGAGCTTGTTCATCTTGCATTCAAGACTTAAGGTAGAATTTCATTTCCTCATTCTTGTGTTTAAGTAAATTCTTGCATGATTTATAGCAAATTGAAGCCTTGAGCCAAGTTATGGCTCTTACATGTTGAATTATAGCTTGATTCATGCATGCATGTTTGTATTGTTGGATTTTGAGTTGAGTTCATGGCAAATTGTCACATGCATGTCCATGTTTTGAGTGTAGGCCATGTTTTCATCTTGTTTGTGAATCAATTGGCTCATTAGAGCATGTTTTGAAGCTTGAAAGTTATTTAAAGATCATGCATGTCATGTTTGAGGATTGTCCTTGAAAAATGGTTTGAAATTGGATTTGATAAACACCCTTTGGATTTGATAAACACCCTTGGGCTTTGATTTCTCAAAATTGAGCTTTGAACCATGTTATTCTATGTGTGTTTACAAATGTTTTCTGGAAATTCAGCCCAAGAGGTCGAGTTTTGGGTTGTTAAAACTTGGTTTGAGCTTGGAGGTGCAATCTGGGTTTTCTAGATTCTGCACTTCCGCTCGAGCGGGGTCTAGTGACGCTCGAGCGGGGAATCCGAGCATCCAGTATCTCGGCACTGTTTTACAGTCCGCTCGAGCGGAGGATTGGGCGCTCGAGCGGAGTCATGTGTCTCAAGCTCGAGCGGGCGTCGAGCATCTGTCGAGCGGAGATTGCACCTATCCAGTACTTTTACAGTACGCTCGAGCGGGATATCTGACGCTCGAACGTGTACCTTTGTTGCATGACCGCTCGAGCGGGGAAACCTGAGCTCGAGCGGGACTCTGTTTTTCTGAAAACTCCTGAAACTGTTTTCTGATCACATCTTTGCATCCTCATCTCATCCTAGGCATTCTTAGGCCTAGTTTAAGACATCTTATTGAGGATATAGATGTAGAACACACCGAGACAAATTAGGGATTAAGTTATTATCTTTCCCAGCTGTGTAGCTTAGCGTGTTCAATCTGTTAACTGTGTAGGGTTGGCGACTGGGGAGACACGCTCTAGCATATTGTAGCCTAAACTCTGTGAGTAACGATTGTGTAAAGATATGTTCAAAAATGATTATTTTTTGAACAACTGAACTGTACTGTTTCTGGATTGAATACTGTTAATTGAATGAATATATGTCCTATATTCTGAACTGTATTGTGGTATCCTTAGCACATACTGTTTACTGTTTACTGTTACTGTTACATAGATCTTTGTCGGTTCCCTTGTTGGAACCACTACTGTTACTGACTGATGGCCATCATTTACTGCTCAGTCTTTTAAGACCTACTGTTTACTGTACTATTATGCTAATGGATGTACCACATATGACTGTACTGACTGAACGACTGAAATACTGATTTAATGAACTGTTTTCATTACTGTAAGGACATTCATTCTTAACCTCTTTACGCATTATGTTATTCACTGGGCTTTAGCTCACTGCTCATATATATATGTAGGTGTACAGGCACCAGACCGCGGCTAGGAGCGTCAGGGTTACTCCAGTTTTGTCCAGCCAACTACCGTGCCTCACTGCGAGGTTCCAAGCCTATCATGCTAAGGCTTAGGGGTGTTTTAGGACTCCCCCCCTTTCTGTACTGTCTTACTGTTTTGTACTAACCTAATGGATTGTATAGACTGAAGGTTTACTGTACTGCTATGTAAGTGATGGAGTCCCTAGTCTGAATGATTGTATATACTGTGCATACTGTTCTGTACCGTTCATGTATATATGTATGAAAATTCTTTTTGCATACAGACTGTTATAACTCATTGGACATTGTTTCTTTACTGTTTTGGCTTCCGCCAGGCCCTGTACTCTGTTTTACTGTGCTACTGTTAAGCAGGCCTTTGGCAATCTCGAATTACTGGCCGGTTACGGTGCTAAACCCATAGAGCCGGGTTTGGGTCGTGACATGATCGTTCTTCTCTCTGTTTGTCACAAAGCACTTGGTATGATCTCCCCCCATTTTTATCATTTCTGATAAACAAAAGACAAAAAATGAAATTGGGTTGAGCTCCTCATTTTACCATCCAGATTGAATGATACAAATATTTTATTCTGTAAAATCTACTGAAAAGAGTATCCAATGAAATAGTTTATTAAGTTTATTGAACAATGAAATTCATATAATTGGATTACATTTATCTTATAAAATAAATAAATAAATTACCTATATTAAAAATTATATTATCCGCTCAATTTTCTTTGATCAAATTAATCAAAAATTTTATACGAACTATTTTGTGGATAAACCCTACAAATGAATGGTTGTTTCAAGCACTAGGTGAGCCTCATAGTGGGTATGTTAATTAAGTAAACCAACCTCCTGCCCATGTTTGGAAAAATTGTGATTTTTAAATTTTTTTTTTAAGGTATTGTTTGAGTAGTATAAAATGTGATTGTTATAATAGGAACCAAATTGACATATCGTGCAAACATCAGAGACTATTTATATAATTTATCTTCAATTATTTTTTATTTTTTATTTGGACCGGAAACTGATAGTTTTTTATTTTATTTTATTTATAAATAGCTATTAGAGTCAATTTATATGGTGAAGTTAACTACTATGCAAATCATAATGAGTCTTCAAAGAGTAAGATGAATAAATCTGTTTAATAATTCTTTGGCTATTTAATTCTGTAATTTTTAGTTTTCTTTATGTACATCAAATCTGTTTCAATGTTACTATTTATTTTTCATTATGAGTATTCTAAGTCTCTTAGGTTTCTACTTTTCTATTTTGTGTGCTTCTGTATATACTTATGCTTAAATAATAATAGAATTTGTCCTGTTTGGTATGTTTCTATTTGGTATTTTTTTCACTTACTTTTTATTTTATTTTATTTTTGTTTCTCCTATTCAATTTTTTGGTTTGGCACAGGTGTGGAGATCTGCCACAATCTAAGAGGATATGTTAATTAAGTAAACCAACTTCCCTACCCATGTTTTTTTTTTTTAAGGTATTATTTGAGTAGTGGAAATTGCAATTGTTAATTGACATGTGGTGGGTAGGTTTACCAACCATAAAACCCATAATTTAGTTTTAAAAAACTTTTGGGCTCTTTGGGGCTTTTTCCCATAATTCAGGGTCATAAAGATATATATTTTTATATTTTTTATTTTTTGTAATACTGTTAATTATACTTTCGGTAATACTAAATATTCCAACTAAATCAAACATTATTTTGTGTTGTATTTTTTGGTGTAACAATGTAAATTTTTGTGCACGTTGCTTTATGACTTTGTGTTGTTCAGAATAAACAACTTCTCGGGTGATTCTTTATCTACACTTATCTACTTTGACTGTAAGTATTCTAGACTTATTGATGGATTTTAGGCCAAGTTTGGGATACTTAAAAAAAGTTAAAAAGTCAAAAAGTTATTCAAAAAGTTAAAAAGTTAACACTATTCACCAAAAGTCAACAATTACGGCTGCACAACTCCCAATCCTAATTTTCTTCTACAAACCAATTTTTACAATTTTTTATTACACATTTTTTCATAAAAAGTAAAAAAGTTAACCCAAATATCCATATTTTTTCCCTCAACTTTTTAGTCCAAAAAGACAAAAAATACACTTATTTAAAACATCCCAAACAACTCCTTAGAGTCTTCAAGTCATTGTCTTAAAAAAAAAATTCATTTTTTCTAAAATGACCTTAACTTTGTAAATAATTATACTATTTTTACACTTATATCAGTTTCTATTTAAGGGTAACATGATAAATTACTAATTCACAAACTGAATAACCTCCACTACCCACGTTTCACAAAATGCTACAGTTCCACGTTTACAAAACAACTGCTGCTACTAGCCATTTTCTCAGTTCCCTCTTTATTTACAAACTTTTCCAACTCTTTTGGGAAAACACTATTCAACTATTCAAACAACTTTTTTTTTTTTTTTTTTTTTTTGGAGAAAGACTAATCAACTACATTCAATTTTATGGACTAATCATCTAACACTGTAAGTGTACTATTGTTAAGCTTTTGTTTGTTTTTTTGTGTATAAATTCAGTATTTTAAAATTAAATTTGTTTGTTTACTTAATTTTGTGTGTTTGTTATATAAAATGTGTTTGTTATTTAAAATAAAATTCAGTACTCTTAAAAAAAATCATGTAAAATGAGTGTCTTAGATTTTTTTTTGTATTTTTTTTTTTGTGTAATTATACTTTCTATAAAAAAATTTATAGAAAAAAAAAATTATTAGTTTGATTTATTTGTTAATACAATCAGGCCAAGTTTGGCATCCTCCAAAAAATTTAAAAAGTCAAAAAGTCACTATCCTATTTAAGTCACATCATCTTATTTAAGTCACATCACCTCTCTAACACATCACTTCAAACCCAACCCAAATCCAACCCATATTTCATAAAAAGTCAAAAAGTGCACTTATTTAGTTTTCCCAAACTTGGCCTCAGTGTTCATAAAATTTCTTTTTTTTTTTAAAAAAAAATTATTGGTTTGATTTGTTTGTTAATATAATCAGCATTTTAAGCGTTTTTAAATTTAAAATGTATATCAATGTATTCTATTATTAAAAGGGAACAGCTTTTTTAGGCCAAGTTTGGGATACTTAAAAAAAGTTAAAAAGTCAAAAAGTTATTCAAAAAGTTAAAAAGTTAACACTATTCACCAAAAGTCAACAATTACGGCTGCACAACTCCCAATCCTAATTTTCTTCTACAAACCAATTTTTACAATTTTTTATTACACATTTTTTCATAAAAAGTAAAAAAGTTAACCCAAATATCCATATTTTTTCCCTCAACTTTTTAGTCCAAAAAGACAAAAAATACACTTATTTAAAACATCCCAAACAACTCCTTAGAGTCTTCAAGTCATTGTCTTAAAAAAAAAATTCATTTTTTCTAAAATGACCTTAACTTTGTAAATAATTATACTATTTTTACACTTACATCAATTTCTAATTAAGGATAACATGGTAAATTACTAATTTACAAACTGAATAACTTCTACTACCCACGTTTCACAAAACGCTGCAGTTCTACGTTTACAAAAACAACTGCTGTTGCTAGGGTTTGGTTAAACCAAACCCTTACCTCATCTCAGATTCTCAGTCCCTTCTATCTTCCTCTCTCTCTCTCTCTCTTCTACTCTCACTCTCGTACCTCTCCGCGACGCCGTTGGTCCTCCTCCGTCGTCCTCCTCCGCCGATCGTCCTCCTCCGACACAGATCTCAGTTTTTTTGAAACAGATTGTGTATGTATACAGATTTTTTTTTTTTTGTGTTGTTGAAACAATTTTTTATATGTGTATGTGTACAGATTTTTTTTTTGAACGAATACAGATCTGTTTGTGTGCACATAGATTTTTTTTTTTTAATTTTTTTGAACGAATACAGATCTGTTAAACAGATCTGTTTGTGTGTATACGGATTTTTTTTTAAATTTTTTTTGAACGAAAACAGATCTGTTGTTGAAACAAATCTGTTTGTGTATACATGTATGGTGGTGATGTTGTTGAACAAAACAGATTTGGGCCGGGGAAATTTCGGGGTCGGGGAAACCCGATCCCCGTTAGGGGAAGGGGATGGGGACGGTGATAGGTTCCCATCGGGGCAGGGACGGGGAGATTTTCACAATCGGGGATCGGGGACGGAGTGTGTAATCCCCGGCCCCGCCCTGGCCCGTTGCCATTCCTAGTTTCTCTCCCTCAAAAACCTTAAATCCTCTCTGCACTCGAATTCACAAACCCTAACTTTCAATCACTGAGATTACCGCAAATAAATTTGTAATCACTGAGATTACAACTAAATTTTGCCACTAAAAATTCTGCCAACCATTTATAGTGTAAGCTCATTGATACTTCAACTTTGTGGTGCTCTCAGATGGCGCATAGCAACAAAGATCTTCTGGACTTGGAGCTCGAGAATTCATCTTCATCAAACCTAGGTCTCTCTTTCTTCCTTACTTTTTGCCTAGCTTCTCTCTCTCTCTCTCTCATTCTATGTATGTGATATAGTGCAGAATCTACACTTCTTGTCTGCAAAATCGACGACTTACAACAGTCGCAAAACTCAAAACCCACACCCACTGATGGAAAGCCCTTCACTTCCTCTGCTCCCAAAAGCCACGGTACTTTATATTCTCCTCTCTCTCTCTCTCTATTTATATATATATATATAATGAATGGTAAGTTTTATCTTGAAATATATGCACCAGGACCAATTAAGCTGCACCCAAGAAAAAAAAAAGAATTGTTTTTTTGGTTGAAGCAGTGTGATGATTGTTAATCCTGTAGTCTTAACTATGAGCAAGTTATATTGAATTCTTTGAAAATTCAAGAGAAGGAAAGGTATTGAAATATGGGAAGAGAATTTAATTCAATTATCAAAAGTTATTTGACTCTATTCTAATATTGTTATGGTATTTTGTTTGTTTGTTTGTTTTTTTTTTTGTTTTTTAAAGTTTAGTTGACGACTAAGAGAAAGCAATATTTACTTACACCGACTTTGAATCCAATTCAAAGTGCAATACCCATTATTGATAATACTTGATTTTGAAGTTTTGTAAGAATCATTGAAAGCATTTGAATACAATATAACAAATTGGGTCTTTCACAAGTTCCACTATTTTGGGGAGGAAGTAGTTTGGTCGGCATGGAAGTGAAGCCCTTCACTCCTACTTTAACCCTCCAGTTCAATCTCCTTCCTTGCAAACAAGGAAAGCGTATACATCCTTACCCTCTTCCTCCCCCACCCCTTTCCTCCCACTTTTCCATCCTACCATGGAACTCTGAAGACTTGTTCCAATGGGCATAAAACTGGATGATGAGAAAGAAGAAAGGAGGGAGTGATGACTAAATCTTTTTATTTTTATTTATTTATTATTTGGTTTGGGGAGGGGGGTGGTGGCGGTGAGGATGGTTGACTTGACAAGATAATGCAACGGTTGACTTGACAAGATAATGCAAGGGCTGTACTTTTCCTTCATCACTAGTTGAAGTTCATGCAACTCGTATTGTATCATGCTTAGAACGAGTGCTGTTAAGCCATGTGCAATCAACTGCTAAAATCCCATTTTATGACTATGTAGGTTATGTATGATTTTGGTCAGTTTTCGGTATAATTTCTTGTGTTTCATAAATCATATTTTTTATGTTTCACAAGTTGGGAATATGTTAGTAATAGATTTGCTAGGCTTGGGCTATATTGGCCATCGATGGGTCTCAATTTAACTCTTCTAATGGGGTCTTAGAAGTTTTCATATAAAAATTTAACACTTTTCATTTGATAGAGGCTAGTTTCAGTGGCTTTTGGCATATTTGAAGTTCCTTAAGGACTGTGTGATGCTTTTAAATGCTCAAGTATGATGCCTACACAATTCTTGTGTTATTCTAGAGCTTTTGTTTTGTTTTAAATTTATTTTCTTTTAATTTTTTGCACAAAAAGGTTTTTAGCACCATAACCATGTCTTTCTAAGCTGCAATCTATGCTTACATGTTCATATCATACAAAAAGCCCCCAACCAAGGCACTATTCACATCACAGGTGCTATTTATGTCTTTTTTTTTTTTTTTTTTAATATCTAGATTAACTAACATTCCAATCTTCAGCCCTTTATTATACTCATCACAAGTCCTAAAACCCCTCATTATTCTGTCATGATTGATTAATCACTGGTGAATCTGTCCTTTAATAGTTTGTCCTTCTGATCAACATAAATTTTACTATTTTAGTATTGACAAGTAGTGGTTTAGAAAAAATTAAATAAAGATAAAGACTCTACTGAAATGTAATTGGATAATTAAATACTTAGACAAAGAAAAAAATGATGCTACTCTTATGAGCACTTAGTTGTTTTGTTTCTCCATTTGTCAGTTATGGGAAAATTAAAGGATTTCTTAGGAGTTATGTCGGAAGCAAATCAAAGGCTGCAGAATGATGCAAAGGTATGCATTTTTGTTGTACACTTGACCAAATTGTCTGTAAAATTCCATTGATTTCTCTCTAATTCTGATGTGAACGTGCACTTAATAAAATACAGGACAACGTTGAGGACTATGATATTGAAGTTCTCACTGGGAATGAGTCTGAGTACATTGAAATGGTCAGTGAAGTTGTTCTCGTCCAATTCCTCTATGGACCAAGCAGCACTAATACGATCCATTTTTAATGTTTGGGTGCATCTTATTCAAGATTTGATGCTGGGTGTTGCTGATCTGCATACACCCGAGGCTATTTCTGCTGCCCAGTCTGCAATAGCTGGTTATCAACCAGTGATTTCTTTGGCAGCTAGCAGCAGTGAAACAGAATCGGAATCCTCCAGTGATGATAGCAGTGATGGTGATAGTGAAGATGACAGTGATGACGACTACAATGATGATAATGCCACAGCCACTCCTCCCAAACTTAAAAGAGCGAAGTCTGTTGAAGATGATTCTTCAAGTGAGTCATCTGAAAAACACAAGCCAAAAAAGCAGCCAAAGATTGTCGAGCTATCATAAGACTGTTCTGGTCTTGAGTTAGCAAAGATCCAGGATCAATTTGTCAAAAATATGGGCTGTCAATGAACAAGGGTTGAAGCGTGCATCCACAGACAAGAAGTTGATGTGAAGAAGCTTACAAATATAAGTGATTGTGTGTTGTGTTTGTTATTTATACAGGATTTATTAGTCAAGCCATCTTCACGGATTGTAGACATTTTTCATATCACATCCTTCGTTCATGATTTTGCCTACGCTAAAACTTTTGGAATAGCGTCTCAAAATGTAGTCTCCTTCTCTATTGAGCTGAGTAGAAGAAACAACAGTAATTATGGGCTTGAGTAATCTATAATTTCTTGAGAATAAGTGCTTTATTTGTTTATTTATCAATATTCAATTTGAATATTAAAAGTCAGCAAAATATAAGAAAGGATAACCTAAAATGGGAATTTTGGGGGGGTGGGGTTTGACATCATAGTTCTATCACTACATTCTAGTATGATGTTTAGTTTGAGTTTTAGAAAATTAATTCCACTCCTTTTGAAAACTTGTTCTAGGAGGGTTTTTAAATTTTGAAATTTGGCCTATCGGTTGTCTCTCTGGACATTCGGCCGGTCGTCTTGACCAGTGCGGTTCTTCTTTTTTTTTTTTTTTTGCAATTGGCACTTGATTTTTTTTTTAATTTTATATTTTTAATAAGCCAATATTTTTGAAATATTTTTTAAAATTTTTTACGAACTTTTAATAAATTTTTGAGTTGTGTGTTTGGTTATGAATTGTAAATTTTTATATCAGATATCATATGTCACCTTAAAAATTTCCCACTCAATTTAAAATTCTTTTCAAAATTCATTCACCAAATAAATTTTTTACGTTCAAATTATAATTTTAAAATTCATAAATTTAAAATATAACTTGTGTTTTCAAATTATATTTAAAAAAATTTACCAAATGCTACCTTTCTATCTCTCACCCCTAGACACGACAGGTGTCACTTTAAATGGTCAAAATGATTTTTTTTTGTTTTTTTTTGGGTTTTTCAATTTCGTCTAACAGTTATGTTTTTTTTTTTACAATGCCCCAAACCCGCCCCAACTGAGGTAGGGTTGTGACCGGATTTTTTTTTTTTTTTTTTTTTTGAGAACGTGGCCGGATTTAATTGTACAAAACTCATAGAGGAGGTTTAATACGATGGAATGAAATGAATTGAGAATAGAATGAGAGTAAGAATAGAATATAAGGTTGAATGGAATGGAATGTCCATTTTCATTCTATTGTTTGGTTGTCAATATGAAATGACATAGGAATAAAATGATAATTCTCATTCTCGTGTTTTTATTTTTTTTCAAGCTAGTAATAAATAAATTAAAATTTTATATAAATCATAATAATTTTAATAGTTGTGAAAGTGATGGTGTGAGTCGTAGTAATGGCGGTGGTGGTGGCGGTGATAGTGGTGGCAGCATCGGTGATAGTGATAGCAATGATAATATGATGGTGGTAGTAGATTGTTGTGACCTTAGTGGTGGTGGTAAGGTAGTGTTGTGATTGCAATAGTGGCGGCGGCAGCCAACGGTAGTGGTGATATTGATAGTACGGTGGTGGTAGTATGGTGGTATGGTAGTTGTGACAGCAATAGAGTGGTAAGAGAACAGAATGGTGATAGTAGTTAAATAATAATATTTTTTTTAAGTGTCAACAAAAAAAATTAATAATAAAATTTTATGATAATTTCATGATGGAATAGAATGTCCATTCCTTAGGTTAGAGGAAGGAACATGTATTTTTACATTTTGTTAAAATAGCTATTATAATAGAATGACTGTTTTCACTTAAATAAAATATACCAAACAAGGAAAAAGACATATAAAATTAAAATAGACATTTTATTTCAGCCAATATCATCGTACCAAACGTGCACATAGTACTTCTGTTCATAGGGAACAAATATGTAAAATAGCAGAAACATACATTCGTAATCTCGTAATACCATTATATCCATAAAAGCAAATGGAGAACCGTAATGAACATAACTTTCATACATTCATTTACAGTGCCATCTTGTGGCTCAAACACAAAGATACAATTACTACATGGACAAGTACAAGTCAAGAGCTTGTTCCACCATAAGGGAAGCAATAAAAGATTATTCAAATCATTACAAATAACATAAAATGAAAAATAAAATTCATAAACTCTCACCAATTCAAACCTCAAATCAAACCATAGAAAATATGCCTAAATAGATATGGATGCTTATCTTCCCATTTTTGTGTGTGTTATGTAAGCAGATATGGGAATTTAATTATTGAAGTTATTTCTATGAAATGCCCAATAGACATAAATAACATTTTCAAAGGGAACAACTATTCACATTTCACTTTGCTCTAAATACATTCTTTTATTTGTCTTTATTATACATAGTTATATTAATACTCTTGAAATTTTAATTTTTTTAAATAGTATATTTTATGTGAAAGGGTATTAATGTAACTCTATATCATAAGGACAAAAAAAAAAAAAAATGTATTTGGAACAAAGTGGGGAAATTCTATTTCCACACGCCTAAATAACTAAAGGAACACACTTAATGAATTTTTAATTTAATGGCAATTATCCCCTAAACCTTAATGACCATAATAGACATCCAACAACACTTATAATATTATATACAAAAATTCTCCATACGTGTTTTAAAAACAAAAAGATCTCAATGTACACCTTTTGAGTTAAAAAAATAAACCCTAATTTTTTTTCCCATTGTTGTCACTTTGCTTGTTACATACTCTATACTCATTTATTACTTGCAAAACAATACTCTCAAAACATCTTTCATATTGCTTTAATCTCTATGTTTACAATCTATTATTTATATCGCTTTTTTATCAATTCTACAATTTTTGATTGATTTTGATATGGAAGAGTTGCACATTTATGGAAGTTCAAACCTAAGTAAAAATATGTCGGGTTATAGAAAAACAGTAATGAAAATGTTAGTTTTTTTCGATTTTAATTCGGAGAACCAGTGTTAAATTTATGTATTAAATTCGGATATCAATCGCCAAGATATATTTACTTCTTCAACATCTATATTTCAAAAATTATTAATAAATTTGGTATTTTAGTTCCGATTTTTTTAAAACCGAATATTTTTAATTTTTTTGGTTGCCAAATGCCGAAATATATAATTTCATTTGGCTCTATAGTGCCAAATTAAAAAAATTTCCCGCCCCTTTTCCAAATTACATACACTGAGAAACTGAGGTTAAAGGGCCCGGTGTTTTATTTTGGAGGTTTTCAATAGAAGTTTTTATGGAAGTCTTCCATGGTTGGCTTCAATGGACTCACTTCAGACATTGGATGTTTTTACTTCAGTGGGGGTCTTCAAGTTCACGTGGGTGGAAGTTTTTTGGTCTTCAAGTTTTCAAAAAGTGTGTGAAAATGAGGGGTAAGTGTGTGTAATTTAATCATACCTAATCAGTTTTCAGATAAATATACCATAAAATCACATTAATTATGAGGGTCACGGAACATCAATCGGTTTCTAATTCGGCCGCCGATAAGGCCTTCAATTAGCAGTTTAAACATATAAACATGAACAGATAATCAGACAATCAAACAGATAGAATGCAATTAACTAACATATACTCAGTTAATTCAGATTCCAATTTCAATCAGTCAGTTCAGTACTTTACTCAGTTCAATTATCAGTCAGTTATCAGTCATTATCCGTTTCGTTTAACAGTAATCGGTGATTATCGGTAATCAATCAGTCCCTAATCAGTAAACAGTATGAGGGTTGTTACAATTTGGCTCTATAGTGCCAAATTAAAAAAATTTCCCGCCTCTTTTCCAAATTACATGCACTAAGAAACTGAGGTTAAAGGGCCCAGTGTTTTATTTTGGAGGTTTTCAATAGAAGTTTTTATGGAGGTCTTCCATGGTTGGCTTCAATGGACTCACTTCGGACATTGGATGTTTTTACTTCAGTGGAGGTCTTCAAGTTCACGTGGGTGGAAGTTTTTTGGTCTTCAAGTTTTCAAAAAGTGTGTGAAAATGAGGGGTAAGTGTGTGTATAATAATATTTGAGTGAAGGATATAATTGTAATTTTTAGTGTGTGGATTCAAAAAAACAATAAATAAATAAATTAACAGGTGTATGTATTAAGAAAAGATTTGCTCTGAGTTATTTAGGTGTGTGAAAATATAATTTCCCAACAAAGTGGAGAGGAAATAATAACTCCCTTATCAAAAACACAATAAATAAATTATGGATAAATTACAAATACACCCCTTGAGATTTGATTAAAATATAAATCGCTCCATGTGGTTCTGAAAATTACATTCCATCCCTGAGATTTCTAATTTCATAACAAATTGCCTCTTTTATTAATAAATTATCAAATCAATTAACAATTTTTAATGATATTAGAAATATGCTTCAATTAATAATTGAAGTAATTTTATTATTGTATAGGAAAACAATTATGAATTTTATTTTTTTTAATTAATTCTGTTAAATAAATAATTCTGACAAGAAGGTATTTATAATTTTTCAAATCACAGGAAACACTCTGTACTTTAAACAAATTTCAAGGAGTGCATTTGTAATTTACCTATAAATTATCTTGAATGCTCATTATCCATTCTCAAAACAATCAGTTAAATCACCAACAAACATAAGCCTCAAACTTCCCTCTGCCAATGGTATAAATTATTTGGGTCATTTACATATAAGTCCCATTTTGTGAACTTATAATCCATTAAGTTCTAGATAAAATTATTTGCTCCTTTAAGTCTCATTAATTTTTAATAGACCAAATTATCCTTCCAACAAACTCTAGGCGAGTTGTCTCGATGTCGCCTTCCCTCTCGCTTTCGTCCTTAAGTCCTCCATCGACGTCCTCGATGGAGCTTCGTTGTTGGAAATCCAGCTCCGCCACTAGAACCACCGCCTCCTTCCCCTACTTAGATTTGCGGTGTCGTCGTCGTCGATGAAGATGAAGAACTCAAACCCGCGAGTGGCTCATGTGTGAGGTTGAGGTTGTTGTTGATTTGTCTCTGAACAGATCTACCTCTCTCTATCGCCGCTGATTTGCCTCGTCACCACCTAAAATTTAAGGTCTCTGGGAGGGTTGGGTGAAGAATTGGGTAGATTTGCGGCTGTTGCTTATGAGAGTCCACAGAAAGATGAGGACTCAGAGCCGACGTTGGAGACTCGTTCAGAAGGCGATGAGTCCATTGATTGTAAGGTTTCGATTTTCACTGAATTCACAAATGCCACTGCCATTAGAGAGAGAAAAAGAGAGAGAGATAGAGATCTGGGATTTTTTGAAATTGAGAACCTTCTCAATTTATAATATTCTCAATTTTAATCATGAAAAAAATTAAGAAATTTCTCAAAATTGATAATTATAAATTTCTTAGTTTTGATAATATTCTCAGTTCATATTAGAAAAAAATTGAGAAATTTCTTAGTTTTGATAATTATAAATTGAGAACATTCTCAGTTTTGAAATTGAGAACATTCTCAATTTTGAGATTGAAGGGCAAAACGTCTTTTTACTTGTAAATGGGACTTACTGGTTCAAAAACTTTTTGACAGGACCTAAGCTACCACTACATATGTAGATAGGACTTTTAAGAAATTAATCCAAATTATTATCCAAAAATAAGGTTTAAAACCATACCAGAATAATGCTGAGGAAACACCAACACTTCAAGGATTCCATCTTTTTTGATAATTATAAATTGAGAACATTCTCAGTTTTGAAATTGAGAACATTCTCAATTTTGAGATTGAAGGGCAAAACGTCTTTTTACTTGTAAATGGGACTTACTGGTTCAAAAACTTTTTGACAGGACCTAAGCTACCACTACATATGTAGATAGGACTTTTAAGTAATTAATCCAAATTATTATCCAAAAATAAGGTTTAAAACCATACCAGAATAATGCTGAGGAAACACCAACACTTCAAGGATTCCATGTTGGTGTCACCAATACTCCAATACCCACTAACCCTACAATAGTTCCTAACAACAGTATCAATAACGAGATACACATCAAAGAATCACATGAGGCTACAACAATTGACAATCCCGATAGTTAATTCACTTGAAACATTCAACAGCATGGCCATCATCAGGGGCATTTTGGAAAGAGGCTAAAAAAGTCAATTTTTTGGCTTTTTAATTTTTTTAGCCAAAAAAGTCAGATTTTTTACCTAAAAGAATTCAGCTTTTTGCCAAAAAAGCCACCAAAAAAGTTAAAAAATCAAAAAATCAATTTTTTATCAACTTCTCAAAACACCACTTAGTAGCATTGACTCTTACATAGGCCTCAATTGCCTAGTCGAAAAAGAATAATGTAAAACCCGCCTCATATATCAAATATATCTAAGGAATCAACATAGTTATTATCACGACCCAAACTTGCCCCTATATTGTTGTGTTCCCCTCCATTTCTCTCTAATTTTAGCTCAAAAGTGTATGAAGAGGATGAATTCATAAGCTTAAGCTATATATATAGGTTTAATTAGCTTAAGTTAATTAAGCTTGTTTAGGGTTAATTAATCCCACTTAACTCTAATAAATTCTAATTAATTATTTTAATTATTTTGATCCGAATAAATTTTTAATTAAAGTTGCGATAAAATTCTAAATTTCTAATTAGCCTATTGGGCTAGTCAATTTCGATTTCTGAAACCATTAAAGCTCTCAATTGATGTCTCTAAGTCGGCAATTCTAATAGGTATTCCATAAACAAACAAATATTCATACTTAAACATATAATTCAGCAATTAAAGTCACACAAATAATATAAAACAATAATGTACGCGTTGGGATAAAGAAATTGAGAATACCGATTTTAAATTGTATTATAGTGGTAAAGATAGACGTAGGAATGTAGTAGGAATCATAGTTGCCAAGGGTCTTGTGGAAAAATGCTTATCAAAAACAAAGGAGAGATGGAAGAACGTTTATCAAAAAAAAAGAAAAAAAGAACGAGAGATAGAAGAACTATTTTAAAAAACTATTAAATGAAGAACATAGAGGTACGTCAATAGAGGAAGAAATAACTAGTAATATGATAAACCAAGACTATAGGTTCTATCGCAGGATTAGGAACTTTGAAGTGGAGATTGCACTTAAGAAGATGAAATCAAATAAGGCTTTAGGATTCAATGATATCCCTATTGAAGCTTGGAAGTGTTTGGGTAAAAAAAGAGTTGCTTGGCCAACTACGTTGATTAGAAAAATTCTGTTGACTAGGAACATACCAGATGAGTGGAGGAAAAGTATCTTAGTGTCAATCTATAAGAATAAAGGAGATGTCCAAAATTGCAGCAACTATAGAGGAATTAAGCTAATGTGTCATATAATGAAAGTGTGAGAAATGGTGATGAAACTCCGATTGCGAGATATAACAGAGGTGTTAGAGAATCAATTTGGGTTTATGCCTGGCAAGTCAACAATGGAAATGATCTATCTGTTGAGGAGAGTAATAGAAAAGTATAGGGCAAAGAAAAGAGTCATTCGTATGGTGTTTATCGATCTTGAGAAAGCATATGATAGAGTGTTTCGGAATATAATATGGTAGGTGTTAGAGAAGAAAAGGGTGACAAAAGGTTACAATGATGTGATTAGGGACATATATGAAGGGGTGGTAACTATTATTAGATCGCCTATTGGAGAGACAAATGAATTTCCTAGGATTACACCAAGGATCTACCTTAAGTCCTTATCTTTTTGCGTTAGTTATGAATGGGTTGACGAGAAATATTCATGATGACGTGCCATGATGTATGCTTTTTGCAGATGATATTGTGTTAGTGGATGAGACCAGAGAAGGAGTTAACACAAAGTTGGAGATTTGGAGAAAAACACTTGAATCTAAAGAATTCTGAATAAGCAGAACTAAGACGGAGTACATGAAGTGTAAATTGAGTAACAGTAACAATGAAAGCAAAGGATAAATGAAGATTGAGAACCCATAACTGCCTAACAGTGAACATTTTCGTTATTTAGGATCGATTATCACAACGGCGGAGGAAATTGATGCAGATGTGGCTCATAGGATTAAGGCCGGATGGCTTAAGTGGAAAAGTACGTCTGAGGTATTGTACGATAAACGAATACCCACTAGACTAAAAGGTAGATTTTATAGAACGACTATTAGACTAGCGATGTTGTATGAGACGGAGTGTTGGGCAACCAAAAAACAACAAGTTGATAAGATAAGTATTACTGAGATGAAGATGCTAAGATGGATGTGTGGTAAAACTAGACAAGACAGAATTAGAAATGAATATATTCGGGAATAAGAAGGAGTAACACCGATAGAAGATAAGTAGAGAGAAAATCGATTGAAATGGTTTGGTCATATTCAACGGAGACCAATAAAGGCAGTAATGAAGAGATGCGCTGCAGTGACGGTAGGTGGAAGTGTTATGGGACTGGGTAGGCCTAGATTAACGTTGACTAGTGTTGTAAACAGAGATATAAATTTACTAAATTTGACTAACAAAACAACCTTTGATAGAGCCGCATGGAGAAAGAGAATTCATGTAAGCGACCCCAATTTGATGTGACTTAAGACTTGATTTGATTTGGTTTTAAAGATTGACAATTCAAAACCAAAAATTGTTTCTGACATTCTGTCAATTTTATACCCCAGCCAATATATTTATGAAAACCAACTTCTAAGAGAAATGAACCTGGTTTGGTGACAAGTTTAATGATCCTGCAGAGTCTACAAAAGACAGCACCGAGCATCAAGAAAACAGATAGGCATATTCCAGTACAAATTACTGTGCTACAAGGTATTATTTCACAACTAGAAAGACCCAATTCAGAGGTAATGAAGTCTCTCCCATTAAGGAATAAGCATCTTTTTCTTTTCTTTTTTTTAATTCAAAAAAGTGAATATATAGATATGCTACTCCAACATATCCGTTAGAGAGCATTTTTCCTTAGCATCTACAACATATCTGCAGGCAACCCCATCGCACCTACGTCGGGGCCGAAACTTAAGCCCCCGCGTGCTCTAGGCGTTAAAAGAGTATGTTTAATTCCAACAAAGGGCTATGGAGACTCGAACCCAATCCTTGAGTGAGATTCAAAAGTCTTATCTACTGAACCAACCCCCAGTTGGTATTAAGGAATAAGCATCCGCAGAAGCTCGATACCTCCATCCTTGGTCATTTTGATACACAGGAAATACTCCTCAACCAACCAAGACATAAACATATCTTTCTGCAACCTTCAGCATATCAAAAGAATATAGGCCCTTTTCACTGTTTTATATTTTGCGAATTGGGGCTGAACTTTCGGGTTCTACTTCACAAAAGACTCTTGTATTTTTTCAGCGGCACCATGATGTACCTCGCTCATTCCTAGAGAGACAGACAAAATTTGTGAAAATGTTGAGCCATCAGAACTTGAGGAAGCTTCCTTGAAAAGTAGTTTAATTCAGCAGATTGTTGTTATTGGCCAGGTGAAATTTAATCTTTCTTTTGAATTGGGTTTTTTCGCTCTTTATTTCCTTTTATTGTACTTACGAAAAAACTACCACTCTTGAGGTGATGTGTAACTTTTCCTTTGAAAATAATCACGTGTAGGACCAACGTCGTCTTGGAGCTATAATTGTTCCAAACAAAGAAGAGATTTTAGTGACCGCAAAGAAGTTGTTGATTGTAGGGGCGGATGCCTCTGAACTTAGTGAGGAAAAAATGACAAGTCTATTATATGAAGAGCTGAGGAAATGGTAAGTAAAAAATGACCAGTCTCTTTCTTTTTAGTTTTATTGTTTTCTACAGGAAATGGTGAATAAAAAATGACCAGTCTCTTTTTTTTTAGTTTTATTGTTTTCTACAACTAGATTTTCCTTCATGTAGGACTTCTCGGTGCTCGTTTCAAATTGGGCCAATCCTTGGTCATTTTGATACACGGGAAATACTCCTCAACCAACCAAGACATAAACATATCTTTCTGCAACCTTCAGCATATCAAAAGAATATAGGGAAGAAAACCAATTGACAACTATATGTATTTATATATATACAACCATAAGGATTTGCAAATAACCAAATAATCACTTCAAGGAATATAGACCCAAAGGAAATAAGCTCTTAGAAATTAAGGAAAGTTAACTTTACAACATATGAAATAATGACTATGGAAATCTGATCTGATAAAGCATCAAAATGATGTCCACCACTCCTGGGGAAACAAACAAGGATCAACCACAGATACACCAAAAGATATATATATATATATATATCATATAGCACTATCATGTAGTGGCCACAAGCTAAGGAGTATTAAAATTAAGTAGCTAGAATCTAATTCAACAACAAAAAAAAGAAATAGCTTGTTTTAGTTTGCAAGTCCAGGTACACAAAAACAGAGCACAAATATTGCAAAACTTTCCAATATCCATCAAAGCAGACCTATAAAACACAATATATCAAACCTAGATTTGGAAATTAATAATAAAAACACTATAAATAAAAAGAGAGACAAGAGTTTAGGTACTAGAACACATATGTGCCTCTTCGGTTAAAAGAGCCCACTGATAGCAGCAACCACCACTGCTTAATATAGCAGAAAGATATTTAACCAAGCAAGCCAGAATATATATGAAGAAGTTCAAATGATTCCACACTACCTCAATATACTCTTTGCATGAAAACTAATGAAAGGTTTCATGGCAGTGATAGGGGTACCGTCCGTATCGAAGAAAAAGGCAATACCAACAATAAAAATAAAAATATGATGCCCTTAAGGGAAATTGAATAAAGAAAGCTAATATTTTTAAAAACCAGATTATTAAGGGCATCAGATGGCCCAAAACTGCCTCACTATATTGTACAGAGGTAAGAACATAGGAATATTGCACTTCACTTATAGAAATATGGTGTAGAAAAGCAATATGGAGACCTTCATGCTATACTTGCAAGGAAATTGACCAAAGAGAGGAATGATGAATATCTGTTGAATGGTAAAAAAGAAAGAAAGGTACAAGTCGAGAGGAAACATGCGTCAATATATACAAAGATCCAAATGCTAAAAACAAGTCTCCTCCATGCTCAAAATTAAGTCCCAAATCCAATTGAAGACAATAAGATGCTTAAAATTTTAAATATTTTCCTACCTCGTCTCGACAAATAGACATAGGATTGTCAAAATATAGGGAGAAAACCCCAAAAAGTCAAGCCATGCAAAGACCTCTAGAGTTCTAGGTCCAACTTGCTACAAGTGTAACAAACTTATTATGCCACAACTTTCCTCAAATTGAACAGAAATCTCAATTTCATTTTAAACTGACAAGAAATTTGATAGTTTCAGCAATACCCACAAATAAATTTTCCTAGCTCATTCACACCGATAGAATGTAAAAGTCTACAACAGATGCTAGAATCACATAATCATACAGAAAAGGAACAGAACGAGTAGAAACAAGATGTAAAACTAGGCAACGCACTAAGAAATGAGACAATGTACAAAAGAAGTTTTCCATTCTCATACATAAACACAACATTAAACTTTTGTTTGGAGAATGTAGCTTCTAGTTTTAGCAGAGCAAAAGAGAGTTGTGATGCCAACGTAAAAACTAACAAATGCGCTTATACTGAATACCCAGAGTGAAATTGGCCCCTCCATTTCTTCCTCAAAAGTCTTTCCTGGCACCACAGGAAGGCTTTTCGTCTGACACCTTTCACCAGGAGACTCGACACACAAGTCGGGATTCCCGGCAAATGCTCCTGGAAACCTCCAATACCCTTGTTTCGTGGGAACAATTCCAGAAAAACAGTTATACGACAGATTTAGGAGTGTCAGGTTTCCAAGACTCGATATGTTTTCTGGGATTTGACCCAACAAGGAATTATGTGACAAGTCCAAAGCCCTCAAACTCCACATCTTCTCCAAACTCGATGGAATCTGACCATCGAGAAAATTGTAGGATAAATTCAGATACTCCAAACCATGTAATCCAAACAGGCTGACAGGGATCTCCCCATAGAGTGAATTATCAGATAAATCAATTCCAACTGCTGAAGATAGATCGTAATCAAAGCTCAACTCATCGACATCAGAAACAACCACTGAGAGTTTCATCTGCAGATTCTGCGATGTACCCAACTGTTGGGTAGGTGTTCTGCTGAAGTTACTATTGTTAAACATCAAACTAATGTTAAAGTTGCCATCGGGTATATAGCCAGAGAACTTGTTGCCAGAGAGGTCCAATGTTTGAATTACTTGGAATGAGAAGAGCCAAGCAGGTAGAGATCCATTGAATTTGTTTCGAGCAAGGGAGATAAACCTAAGGTTCAACCATTTGGTTATCGCATCGTTCAGACCTCCAGAGAGATTGTTGTAGCTGAAATCTACAACCTCCAATGATTTACAGCCGGCCAAGGTTAGTGGAATCTCCCCAGAAATCTTATTGTTGCTGATATCAAGAATCTTCAAACTATCCAATGCGTCGAGCTCTGGCTGAATTTCACCGGAAAGGTTATTGTTACTTAGGATCAATGCAAGTAGTTGAAAACAACCAACAATGTTCAAAGGAATCGAACCGGACAGTGAGTTGTATGACAGATCAATCACTTGGAGATAGGTCAAATTGCCTATCCTTGCTGGGATCTCACCGGTGAGAAGATTGTGTGAAAGAAACAACACCTGCAAGCTTTTCAATTCCGTTATAGTCAAGGGAATATCACCGTAGAATTGATTGTGAGATAGGTCAAGAAGTACAAGTCCTGACTTCTCCGGAGGTTCTGCAAATTTGCTTGGAAGCTGTCCTGACAAGGCGTTGAAACTCAAGTCCAAAACAACCAGTTTATCCGAAAAAAGGATTCTAGGAGAAATCTCAAATCTTAACCTATTGAAGGACAGATTCAGCTGTTTCAATTCTTGAAGGGAGGAAATACAAGAGGGTATTCCTCCCACAATAGAGTTGTTAGCTAAATTGAGAACCGAAATCGATTCAACAGAGGCCAAAAGGCAAGGCAAAGAACCTGAAAGCAAGTTTGACTCAAGATTGAGAAAAACCAAAGGTTGATGGAAATCTCCAAGAGTTCCCCATAAGTTGTTGTGTGAGAGATCCAAATACTTGAGTGGTTTCAAGTAATATAAGCTCTCAGGAATTTCGCCTTGAAACGAACCGAAACCCAAATCGAGTTTCTCAAGTTTTATAGAAAAATTCCCAATCCAGAGAGGAACAGTATCATTCAAATCTTTGTTAGTATTGAGGGCAAGCTCAGTTAACTTGCTCAGCCTCGCAAGTGTTCTAGGAACAACACCACTAAACATATTATGGCCAAGATCTAGGGTTCTAAGGTTCAAGAGCTTTCCTAAACAAGGTGGGATTGAACCATTAAACCTGTTGTGGGATAAAATTAGGGTTTCAAGCAATGAGAGGTTGCATAAACTGGGATGAACTGGACCTGACAAATTCATGAGGGTAAGATTGAGTGAAATTACTCGACCGGTCCCAGTCCCGGTCTGGTTCGAGCAGGTGATCCCAGTCCAGTTTGTGCACTTGGACCCACCACCACCAAGACCCACCAATTCCCAACTGGACAAGAACCGATTTGGATCTTGAAGGTGTGACTTGAACGACAACAGTGAAGTTCTGTCTTTTGGGTGAAGAGGAAGATCATCATATCCATTGTTGCTATTATATGTGGAATTAGCAACAGCAAATATAGAAGGTGGATTCAACAACAGAAATGGCATTATCAACAATAGTAACAGTGGCACTTGATGAAAATTAGGGCTTTTACAGGTCCAGAAAGCTAGAACCACCCATCTTTCTTCCATGGTTGGAATGTAAAGATGGGTTTGAGCAAGAACTGTCAAGTGCGTGAATCAGAAGCTAAAAACAACAGAAAAGAAAAGAAAAGAAAAAGCTCAATGGTGAAGTGGGTTGGTGTCTTTTACAGCAAGGGAGAGAGAGAGAGAGAGAGAGAGAGAGAGAGAGAGAACAATGGAATTGGAAAGATCAATACCTCAGACAATGGAATTGGAAAGATCAATACCTCATAGCTGCAACTGTTGAGAGTGAGAGAGCGGAAGAATCTTGTTACAGTGGAACAAACATTCTTCTTCCACGAGAACAATTTGCTAAAGTAAGCTAAAAGCAACACTTTACTAGCTAAAGAAAAAATTAATAAAATAATAATGAAGGGTAAATAATAAAAAATATTTAAATAATAATAAAGGGTCAATTTTGAATAATTTTGTTCATGTTACGGTTATAAATTTATGTAAAATACATATTTATTTATTTTTAAATTTAAAAGAGTACAAATATTTTTAGTTAAATTTTAACAGAGGTTTTTCAATAATTTATTCCTTTAAGTATGTTTAAAAATTCAATTAACCTCGCAGAATAAATATCTTAGACCATCTCCAACGGTGAATCAAACCTGGCATCAAATTTAAAATTTGGTGAAAAAGCCATGTGAACACACAAATCAATCTTGCCTATTCTTTATTCACTAAGAGCATCTCCAACGATGTACCAAATGTTTTACCAAATCTGAGTAAAAAAGGGGTCATTTCCTTAATTTGATACTTCGCGCTCCAACAGTTCAACATCAAATCCGTTTCATCAAATTTGCGCTGGGCAACCGGTTGGTTGACCGGCCGGTCGACCGGCCGGTCAACCGGTAACAGCAAAATTATTATTATTTTTTTACCAGTTTGAACCTTTTTTTTTTGAACTTTTTGAACTTTTAGTGGTCGACCGGGTGGTCAACCGGCCGGTCGACCGGGTGGTCGACCACCTAGGCAAAATATATATATTTTTTTTTTTTGACTGGTTTCAACCTTTTTGTGAACTGTCTGAACTTTCTCCGGGGCGACCGGTTGGTTAACCGGTTGGTCAACCGGATGGTCGACCCGTTCGTCTCATCCCAACGGTTAGGAACAGTGCTTTGGTGAAATGCTTCGCCTGCATTCAGTTTGGTACCATTTTTGCTGAATTTTGGATTTGATATCGATTTGGTGAAACCGTTGGAGCTTAAAAAAGTGACTTTTTCACCAAATTTTAAATTTGATGCCAGGTTTGGTTCACCGTTGGAGATGGTCTAACAAACCAAAAAATAAATTTACTTTTTTATGTTTAAATAGAAAAACAAGAAAAATACCATTTAATATGTTTGGTTTTAGTTTTATGAAAATTGAGTTTTTTTATTTATTTTTATTTATTTTTTTATTTTTTGTGAATATTTTAAAAATTTTAAGCAATTTTTTTTTACTTTTTTAGATACACATCACTTAGATATATCTAAATAGTAAAATATTTGTAAAAAAAAATATTTAAAAAAATTAATAAATACATAAAAATACAAAAAAATGTACTGAATTTTAGTAATTTTTTTATATTTTTGATGTTTAGTGAATTTTTTTGAAATTTTTTTCACAAATATTATATTTTTTATGTGTATTTATGTTACGTGTGTCTAAAAATTTTATAAAAAAAATTACTTAAAATATTTTTAAAAAATAGTGAAAATAAAAAAAAAACGAAAAATAAAAAAATAAAATTTTCTAAAAAAATAAATTCTAAAAACTAAATCCAAACAGACTGATTTTCACTGGTATGAAGATTATGACATGTATCAACTGTTTGCTCAAACAGTGAAAATTTCCTTCTTCTCTTATTTATTAATTTCATATTTAATATGAAACTTACTTAATAAATCTACATAAAATAATTATAAAATATAAATTTAATAAAAAACAAACATCTGCATCAATATTTTTTTAATACTATATAAAAATGTTATATCATTTTGGGTTGATCACTATGAAATACAATTTTTTTTATTATGAATTAAATATATTTTCCACCGAAGCAATCACATTGTAGTGCAATTAATTTTCTTTTGATTAAGAATAAGAGATTATTTTTTAATCTCGAAGCAATGTTTATCTTATGATATTTGTTTTATTATCATTTTAAAAATAATATAAAAAGTGATAAATTTCACTATTTTAACCAATATTGACACAGCCGTTATCTTGCCTCAATAGCACTAAAGGATAATTTGAAATGATCTAAATAAATACATTTTTTGACTTTTTATGAAATATGAATTAGATATAGGTTAAGTTTAAAATAATGTGGTAAAGAGATAATATTACTGAAATAAAATAGTGACTTTTTAATTTTTTTAAATTATAACAAACAAGGCCTAAATAATTTTCCAAGCCCCCTTACCCCCAAAAAAGGCCTATTCCTAGGACACAAACATAAATCAATCCTGGTCACTCCAATTCAAAATACCAGAACTCAGCAAACTGAGGGCATCTACTAGAAAACAAGAATTTGAGGTGGGGGATTATTGGACTCTTCATCAGCCACAGGTTAGGACAACAAAATTTAGAAAGAAAATTTTAGACAGGGAGTCCAACCAGCTAACTGGATACATTGCTATTCGGAAAATCTACTCCTATCACCACCACTGCTATTTGGAAAATTGTCCCACACGACACGCCAAGATCATACAACCAATACAGAAGGTACCTGAGGAAAGATGTGGACACCAACCATAGCTACAAGCCTTTGTCCAACATACTTGTATATAGCTGCTCAGACTAAGGGGTACTTATTGGACTCTAAACCTATGAGAGAAGCAAACACTTCTTTGCAGATACTAACTAAAGCCACAATCTTTGGTCCCACATATTTGTGTGTATATGTGGGTAAAATAACAAGCCATAACACACACATGCAGAGAGAGAGAGAGAGAGAGAGTAGTAAAACAGGTTATTTAAGTGATAAATCATTATGTCTCAAATAAAAAGCATACGTCTAAGAGTATTAAGTTTTTGTTTTTTTTCTTTTAAACATAGTACGGGTTACGGATGTTTATCAGTAGAAATCGATAGCTAATATAATATAACAAGGTTGGCTTCAACAGTATCAGCCACATTTATTCCTCCTCTTCTGCCTCCTCCAGCCATTTTACAAAGCGCTCCATTGACTTCACAAAGGCTTGCCTGCAGCATATGGAAATAGTACAATAATAAGCTGCAAGTTCTGTGAGAGAGAGAGGAAATGAAGGGGACGGCATGGAAAAAACTCTAGACTTCAAGCACAACCACCAATCAAGAATTTAGTATTAGTCCAGTCTTTTCTTTTTCTTTTTTGGCACCCAAATTGAACCATGAATAGAACAATTGTTAACCTGAGCACAAGTCAAGGGCACACGTTGAACATTAAAATAAAAATAGGAACAAAACAGTATCATGATGCCCCCTAAACAAATTTGTCATAGTGGTGATTGGTAATGGCTAAATATGTGTGTCAAGTGTTAGCGACTCAAGGGGACGATAAAGGATAAAAAATAAAGATAAAGGAAAGAGAGAATGTGTCAGCTCTTTATTTAGTAAAATGTTTTATTTGTCCTTCTTAGAAGTCCACATGGTGTGCATGTGGTCAATTTCCTTTAGAATTGCCAACAAATCTTGATGAAAGGGCCACATTACAAGTCACCTCAAACTACAAGATTTTCTTTGTTCAAATTGAAACTGTGAAGACCAAAGTCAAATCTCTCTCAAACTACAGGACTACTAGTGTAATAAACCCAATATCCCAACTTCAATGAAAACAAAAAATCAACAAGAAGGAAAATCAAAATGCATACCTGCCCTTCGGGTTTGTCCCTTTACGAAACCAGTAAAGAATGGTATCTTCTGCAAGCACATCCTGGTCATATAGAGCTCTCACAATGTCAGGGAACAACTTCATCAGCTTCGCATCCTCATAGCATTGGACCTGGACTTTGTACAAGAGTTCCAGCTCAAGCTTCCCGCTGGTGCAAAAGGTATTTAATAAATTTGCCCACATTTTCACCTGAACAAGAAAGATATAACCATTAACATTTCAAGCCAGTAAAGCTTCCCCCTTTTCCAAGAAGCAACCCCTCCCACTTGGATGGGACAGACCAAGTGACCAACAAATAATCCAAAGGAAAATCTCAGTGGAAGGATTACTAGGTAATATGAACGTTCTATTTCTGTCAGAGGGCAATACGAATGTTCTATCATGCTCCATCATATTAGCAATCACATTTTAGTGGAAGTAGGCCAACATTTCTATAGGAAGTTTCCAAGTCCATGACATCAACACATTAAAGCAATAACCCATTTATAGGCAATACAACAATATAAATGCATTGTTATATAAATTGTTCACACAAAATAAAAAAAGATTACAGGAAAATTGATTATTTTGATTGCTCGTGCTTGAGTCGACATAGCCTTAAATACTCCCAAGCATGGGTCGGTACACATCCTTTTTTCACCATGGAACTCAGGCCATGAACTCTCCTAGAACATAGGCACTAATTTATCTATTTTCTTCCCCCGTCCACTTACATACCACTTGAATTTAGTTTTTACCTTTGAAGTGCAGCATACTTATTCACTCATTATTGGTATTGGTTTTTACAGCAAATATTCAATCAATACAAGATGACTTTCCTTCATCATGTCGCAATTGGTGCTACATCTCACTTTTCATGCATGCACAAATATATTTCCTTGTATTGCCATGGTAGTATGAAACAATAATGGCCTTCCACCAACCAACTTACTAAATCTTCCCTTTCATTTAAATGGCCTTCAGTGACCACACAGCAGGAAACACTTTCTTCAAGTCACCCATCTACTACAATATTTACAGGTTACTTAACTCTAAACAATCCACCTTGTCATATACACAATAATTCAAAATAATGGGAATCCTGGTCATAATAAGAGACCACAAAAGCACAAACATTTGAAAATTCATAAATCCAGACTAGACTGACTAACTACGATAGGTGCCGCTCAAAGTTAACATATGAGAATTAAAATAAATAAATAAATAATAAAAACTGTATATTTCAGACAATGTACGATACCGATCACATTTTAGTTTTCATTTATTGCACACAATCCAAAGTAAATTTAGTAACAGGACCAAGAAAAAAATAATCATTGAAAGTGGAATTTATACTGCCTGAATAAATGCAGTGTCAAATAATCATTCCTTTGTATCTAATCGGGTTAACTATCTTTTGCACCCAAGTAGTTAGATTGATTTTCACTTTGACTTTCCGCATTTAAAAATGTGCAACACTAACAACCCATGATGCATGCAAAAAGAAGTGAACAACTTTAATAATTCAGCCATGTTCCTTGCCCCAAAAGGATATAATTAACTAACGATAAATTGAAACATCAGCATGTCCATAATCTTGCAAGCACATTTTATACCATGTAACATAGCCCGAAATTTACCTGTAACCAAATAAAAACGATAAAAACCTTCCCTTCTCTCCGCAAACAATGAATCGAAAAGCACAGAAGATTTCAAACATAACTTATACCATAAACCAAGAATTGACACAACAGATTTAGGTTCCATTTAGATAAGTCGATTTGAAATACGGTATTTAAGGCTAAAGTTTATAAATTTGTAAGGAAGATAACTGTTAAGTGGAGGATTGAATAGAGATAGAAAAGACACATTTTGTTACGCTCCTTGCACAAGTAGGATCATTCATGAAAGGATTTCAAATAACTATATTCAACAAGTTATTTCAAATCCATCAATCAACAACTCTCAAATATATTATTGAAAATCTAGATCTAAAATATTACATTGATGTAAAGGTTATAATCCTTGAAGTCATTTTGTGCAAATTATGTCAAAGGTTAAGTTTTGTACACAATCTACCCATTCCAAACCCCCATCAAATGGGGACTAAACTAGGTGTGGTTTAAATCCTTAAATAAGTGTTACTATATTCATTCATTTCAAATCCATAAATCCAAATGTAACTAGATATTTTGTTTTCTTGCTTTTTGTCCATTTGTTGGCTGAACAAGTTCAAAATCAAAAAGGTGATGGATTTAATGGCAGAAACGTTTCTGGTACATTAGCAAAATAATGTAATCTAATGTCTAATGTATACCTGGCGCAGGGCAGCATTAGCATTCTGCTGTTGGTTCTTCCCAGACCATTGAACTGCATCCATTATGACATCCCATAAAATCCGCACAACCTCAATGTCCGGTAATTTTGCATCCTTAACATGTTGCTTCACAGTGTCTTTGACTTCAGATATATCAGTTTCCTCTGCAATCTGGGTTGTTAATGCAGATTTCATTTCTTTCAGTTTCACCTCAAATATCTTCTTCTCATGGTATTCAACCAAGGGTACCAGCCCTGCCTTGCTGAGGGAAAACATGGTAAATATGGATCAATTCCAACTTGCTTGCCAAAGAACAAATTCCATTGACAAAGAACAATACATTCTATGAGTTTTTTTACTGGCCACTTAAAAACAAGAGTTTATGAGAGAGAGATGATTACTGGAAACCAAGTGTAATCTAAGGTTCGAATTATGACATCATTCTCGTATTTGCCGAGTAGCCCAACTTGCCTGACCCATGATGTTCACGAAAATATCTCAAACATACCAAATGCAGTAATGCTTCATAAAATATCCCCAAAAGCACCTATTTTATAAAAAAAGTTTCAAGAAACAACATAATGTTGTTTTCTCGTCTAACTTTTACATGTTTTCCTGTCAATGATACTAAACAGTACATCTCAAACTTTTTACAACTTGGGGAGAGTAGCCTTCAGAGAATTCGTGTTCAAAAACTAAGCAAAAAAACCCTTGGATTTTTAACCACCTAATATTATTCTGGCCCCTAAGCTGGAAAACAAGTAGATCACAACCTTACTCATTTCATCAATTCCACATGAAATCTCAATTTGCAAGGCATAAATCCATAATTACACTAAAACCCAACCCAAGCCAAACAATTGTATTGTATGATAGACCTTGAAACTAAAAGAATGCTTCAATCAACATTAAAAAGCCGCCAGCAAAAATCTCACTACATCACCATATTGAAATAACAAAAAAACAGTAGTAATTCCAAAGAGGGGGTGAAGAAAGTGTACACAAAAAGAGGAAGAGAACCACACCTAGAAAAGAGATTATTCTTCCCAGAAGGGAGAGAAAAAAAAATTTCGTAAGACATACTAAATCAAAAGCATTCAGCAAGCCCAAACATAAATAGCACAAAAGCATGAGAATTGTAGTGAGCAAGCAGATAATGCACCAGCAATCTCAACAATGAGATTATATTTTAGAATACTCTGCAACATCATCTTATTGATTGACACAAAACACTTACGTGAAATGCTCAGAAAATGCCTCAACCGACCGCTTAGAAGATGGGAAGAAGTCGAGAAGATTGTCCTCCATTTTACCACGCTTCAAAAATGAAATCAAATCATCCAGGCTATTATCAATCAAATACTCCTTGAAGAAGTCTGTTATAAATGAAAGAACTATCCCTTTGGCAACAAGATTATCCTTGAGCAGTGGCTGGAACACAGTATCCAGGGGAAGACCTGACAGCTTCTGTGAGAATGCAAGTGCTGTGAAAATCGCCAGCTTCTTCCTCTCATTTTCCTCAAAAAGCTCCAAGGACTGCAGGAATTTTCGCATGACATTTTCAAGATTCTTTATGAGAAAAGGTCTTCGTCGCAAAATCTTCTGTATGTAGATTACAGATGGCAAAATGGCTTCCCGTTTTGGCTCACAGTCTATTATAGAGAAAGGGTGGCGCTCCCCCTCATCAGGCTTAGTTGTGCCAGGTTGTGTACGACCACCTGTGAAAGCAACCTGTGGCAATAATGTACATCTTACCATTCCGGCATACATAGTGCCCAAAAAGTGAAGGAAACTTGCAATTAATTGGAATTAAATAAATAAATTGAATACAATATTGTAACTATAGGTCCACAACACAATCACCAAAAACCTAAAAAGCATCAACACCGACATGGATACATGACACAACACGGACGCACGGACATGTAAATTTTCAAAAAATGCAAGATACGACATGTGGGGGTCAAAATATATAATTTTCTATATTTATTATGTTATCCATTTGAATATTATATATTTATTCCACATCAAATGTTTATTCTCATCAAATTCATCAGCTACTCCAATGAAAATAAATAAATAAATGGGACACCACAAGTCCCCAATGTGTGCAATTGAAGAAGAAGGGAAACTTCCTCAAGCATATCTTGCACATGTACAGAGTGTGTACAACATGTGTCGGACTCCAATATGTGATCTCTAGAAAGGTCTTTGTGCTTCATAGCACAAAATGCTAATAAGCTGATGATCCAGGTCGGGGAATACACACCGTACCCATTATATAAACTAAACCCAAACATTTTGATCCCTATTTGTTCTCTTGGTGTTCATTATAAAAAGGGGGAAAAAAAATAATATAGTAAATTAACAAGACGTAACTTCATAGTAGAAAACCCAAAAAGGGCCATAGCAAATTCAAAACTATTTATTTAGGGGTCATTGATTTATGTTCTTTACATGATAATTCCAATGTTACAGCTCTCAAAAAGCAAATTGACAATGAATTTTATAAATGTTATATTTCCCTTTTTCATTAGTTGTAACTGTGATGGAAAAATGTGTTTAATAGAGCAGCCAACTAGAGAAAAAAGATATGACAATCTACATAGGCTAGCTGACACCATATAATTAGTATTAAAACTTCTTGATTTGAGTTGAGCTTGGCCATTGATTAAAAATCACATATGCTCAGATGGGCAATCTAATACTATCCTTCCCATGCTTATAAAAAAAAATAAAAAATGATTTGTATGCCACTTCAGAATATGTGGCATACCATATTTACATGATGTTTCTAGCCCATGTATGGAACCATTCATGAGGTAACATTGGTTGACATATATTTATACCAAACTCAAGTGACCAAAGATGCACTTATCTATAAACCATTGTCATTTTGGTAACGCCAAAACACATAATAAATAGGTTATCTAAGAAGGAAAGGCACTTCTAAGAAGGTGGCGTGTCCGTGTCGAATATTGACACTAATCAAACACTTCCCAACACGTCAACACACATCCAAAACATGACCTATTATGTTCTAAACACTAATAGGAAACCTATTTAATAAAGTACAAATATAAACATATATACATATGTGATAAGCATTAAAAACTTGATTATTTGCAGTGGGATGCAGTGTTTTTAAAGGCTCAAGGCGCTGAAGGTCTCTCGAGGCCTAGGCGCAAGGCGAGGCGTGGGCTTTATTGAAGCAAGGTGCACAATCTTAGTAAAAAATAAATAAATTAAAATAGACTAATCATTCACAGTATTAAGACAATTTTTTTTTTTAAAAATAAAAGTAATCAAGACAAAGGGTGTGGAAAATAAATTGAAAATAATTTGTAATTTCAGTGTGATGTACTATGTGATTAATTAATTATTAGTAATTTTTTTTCGTAACAGAGAAAGGAAAAAAACTGACCACCAGTGTAATATAATTTGTAATTTCAGTCTAATATAATTTGTAATTTCAGTGTAAAAAAATTACAAATAATTTATATTTTACCAATAGTGTAAAATAATTTATAATTTCAGTATAATATAATTTATTTTGATTTTACATACATATATTTGTGTTTTTTTATTAATATGTATAAACATATATTATTTGAGTATAATATAATATTTCAGTATAATATTTGATAATTCATGTTATATAAAAATATATATTATAGAAGATATATATTATACAGAGAGAAGCCGAGAGAGAGAACGAGAGAAGAGAGACAAAGAGGCGAAGGCGAGAGAGATAGAGAGAGCGATCGAAGTCGAAGGGAGGTCAAGTCGACGAAGTTGAGAAGGCGAGAGACGAAGGAGAAGAAGGGAAATACAACGATGAAAAAAAAAAAGAGAGAGAGAGAAAAAGAGAAGAAGACAGAGACGAGACGACAGCAGGCAGACGAAAAAGAAGAAGAAGAAGACTAACCTGTAGCCGAAGTAGAAGTCTTCAATCAAAGACGAAGTCGCAATCGTATTGAGTTTTAGACTGCGCGAAGAGAAGAGACGACACTAAAAAATTTTAAGGCTTCGACTCTCGTATGTGTTGTATAAGTTGCAATCGTATGTGTTGGACCCATTCAAACTCAGATCAGAGCCATCGATAGGCCTCAGGGGCAAAAAAAAAAAGGCACGCTTAAGCGTCGCCTTGCGCCTGTTCGCGCCGGCCCAAGGCTCGGCCAAGGCGCGCGACTTATCTACCTCGCCTCGCCTTGGGCCTCTTCAGTCGCCGAAGCTACGCCTGGATATGCCTTGCGCCTAGGCGCGCCTTTCACAACAATGGTGTGATGTACACTGTATGGGAAATAATCATCTATGAATCACGGACACGGACACGCATACGAACACGAACACGGACACGGACACGGCAATTTCTAAAAAATGGAGACACAGACACGGCAGGGGACACAGCAAATTTTTTAATTTTTTTTATAAATATTTTTATTTTAATACATATTAATTATTTTATTTATTTATTATATTTTTTAAATAATGTGTTCCAATTAATTTTTTTATTTTATTTTACATACATGTGTTTATTTTTTTTATTTATTAATATGTATAAGTATATATTATCTTATAATATGTTATATAATAACTATTATATAATAGTTATAATATATAATAATAATAGTTATTATATAATATATATGAGTATTATTATATAATAATAATAGTTATTATATAATATATATGAGTATTATTATATAATAATAATAGTTATTATATAATATATATGAGTATTATTATATAATAATAATAGTTATTATATAATATATATGAGTATTATTATATAATAATAATAGTTATTATATAATATATATGAGTATTATTATATAATAATAATAGTTATTATATAATATATATGAGTATTATTATATAATAATAATAGTTATTATATAATATATATGAGTATTATTATATAATAATAATAGTTATTATATAATATATATGAGTATTATTATATAATAATAATAGTTATTATATAATATATATGAGTATTATTATATAATAATAATAGTTATTATATAATATATATGAGTATTATTATATAATAATAATAGTTATTATATAATATATATGAGTATTATTATATAATAATAATAGTTATTATATAATATATATGAGTATTATTATATAATAATAATAGTTATTATATAATATATATGAGTATTATTATATAATAATAATAGTTATTATATAATATATATGAGTATTATTATATAATAATAATAGTTATTATATAATATATATGAGTATTATTATATAATAATAATAGTTATTATATAATATATATGAGTATTATTATATAATAATAATAGTTATTATATAATATATATGAGTATTATTATATAATAATAATAGTTATTATATAATATATATGAGTATTATTATATAATAATAATAGTTATTATATAATATATATGAGTATTATTATATAATAATAATAGTTATTATATAATATATATGAGTATTATTATATAATAATAATAGTTATTATATAATATATATGAGTATTATTATATAATAATAATAGTTATTATATAATAGTTATTATATAATATATGATGAATCAGAAGATGAGAAGATAAAGACGAGAGAGAACCGAGGGAGAGGCAGACGGAAGCAAGACAGAAGCGAGAGAGGGGGAGGCGATCGAGATCGCGATCGCGATGGAGAGAGAGGATCGCGATCGCGAGGGAGAGAAAAAAGGCGAGAGAGAGAGAGAGTTCTGAGACGGCAAAGGGGCGAGAGAGAGAGAGAGAGATCTGAGAAGGCAAAGGCGAGAGACAGAGCTCGTCGAAGTCAAATGGGGCTCTGGATCGTCGCTGATCAGGTTTGTACTCGTTTTTCCTTTCATTTTACTCTTGTCGCTGTGTCGTTGTGTCCATGGCGTGTCCAGATTTGGACACGCGTGTCCCCGCAGTGTCTCTTCCGTATCCCCTGTAAAAAAATTAATTAAATTAAGGGGACACGCCAGATGCCCGTGTCCCGTACGTGTCTCCGGCGTGTCCCCGTGTCCCCGTATCCGACACCCCCACGGCTTCCATTTTGGCATGTCCATGCTTCATAGATAATCATGTCCTACAAATATATGAAATATGCTAAATTTCTGATTTATAGTATGCTACAGTTCTCGTAAAAAAATGTCGTGGATTTGGGGCCAAATTCAACACATATCAATCTCATAATATCTTAATTCTTCTCGTTTAAAAATTAGTCTAAGGAGATATTTTATAAACTCATTATGTGCTTAAAAGTTACATTTTTAATGAATCTTTAATCTAGAAAGTCTAACAACACACAATCACCTACCACTTAAACAAATAATAATAATAAACAAATAATAACAACAATAATAATAACAATAAAATAATAGAGACAAAAAGAAAGAAAGAGAGAATAAAATTAGTTAGAGAAATATGACAGTAGATGTTAAACACTTTGCTCAGAAAAATTTAGTCTACAATTTCACTCTTAATAAAAGAACTTACTCTTAAATTTTCAGAGCTAAATATTCAATTACTTGAAAAAATAGTAACAATTCAGCACCCAAAAAAAAAAAAAATTAACATGGAATTCTCACTCATATGAAATGAACATTGAAGCATTTGAAACTCAAATAAACGTAGTTTAAACCAAGAAATATTGAATACTGCTTCCACAGTGAAATTCAAAATATATAGACACTTTTCTGGGGCAGGGTAATTCATGTTGTGTACTAACTTCCTGACGAATACATTCAAATAATTTTGAGAAAATCAAAGCAAAAAATAAAATACTTGCCTCAAAGAAGGTGTCACCATATCTTGAGAAGTTAAGGTCCGAAGATTCAATGCTCTTAGCAATGAGTTCCTGCATGTAGGAAGGTGCCTCTTTAGGTAGATCAGAATGACCAAATCCAACGAGCAAACGAAAATGCATGGACACACAGAACGAGCAAAGAAACAATGTGCAATAGGACTAGATCATAAGCACATTAAATTACCAGATCACCAGCATTATCCAGATAAATCTGGACCACTGCATCCGCAAATGTTGAAGGGTCCAGAGGAGCTGCAATATTCCGTTTGCGGGTCTTAATCCGCGTACCACTGTATAATATAAAAAAAAAAATTCTGACACAAAGTTGAGAACAAAAATGTTTACAGTCCAACAGAAGTCAAGATATCAGGACATAAAAAAACTAGTCTCCAGACCCTAGCATTAGCATCTTTCTTCAAACAATAGAACCTAAACATTCCTTATAATATCAACTACCACCATCTAAAATATGTATGTAATATGCATTTATTGACAAAATCAAATTGCATTCCACTTAAAATAAACTTCCCCTGATCTTTTTTTTTTTTTTTTTTGTAATCAACCTCCTTTAACATCATCAATAGAAAAGGTCACAACCAATGCACAAGGCTCCTCGCTTACAACAAGATATTGGAGATGTAAAGCAACCTTTCCCCCAGTTTTTGTCAAGACGCTGATTTGAACTCAGACCACAACACTGGGAGAGAATAGTACTTGCAATTGTTGCAAATCACAACCTCACTTTAACCTCATCAATACTAAGTAAATATCAACTTCTTATTTAAAAGCAAGGCAAAACAAAACGCAGCAAGAATAGATATACAATAAAAAATGAGTTTCAAATAATAAATTTTATAATTTATTTAAGCTTTTGCTATAGAAACCCAAGAATGTTGGATTGGCCTGGTAAAAAATTATATGAATTTATTTAATTTAACTAAGCATATAGCCCTTGATAAAGCGGAATGACATAAAAAGATTCATATAGCCAATCCCACATGATAGGAACACAAGGTTTAGTTTGGAGTGTTTTATTCGGGATTCATTTCATCAAGCCCAAATTAATCAATTTTTAAGCAGCGTATTCAAACTGTACACACATTACATTACTGAAGTAACACCTTCTAATCTTTTTCTAGTCTTCATGCTGTAATCCTACTGGCCGCTCATTTTACTCTATTGTCATGTAATTTTTTCAATCTTAGGCCTCGTTTGGGAACAGACTAATTTAGTAACTTTTTGGCTATTTAGCTAAAATATGAGTTAAAAAAAACTAGTACGTTTGGGATGACTTTTTGACTTTTTATGAAAAGATGTGCAAAAAGTAGAGAGAAAAGAGAATCTTTGACGTTTTGGTATGGGTTGTTGGGTTTTGTAGTAACTTTTTGACTTTTTGGCTAAACTGGTCACTTCCCAAGCGAGGCTTTAATACAATTCAAAAATTAAAAATACCATGAAAGTAATTATTTCACATTTTAACATAACCCAAGTTGCACATGCATCATGTATGCTTGTATGCTTATGGAAACATTCGAACTCAGAGTTTTTGGGTACCAACAAGTAAAAACCTAAGAAGCATAATCACTTCTAAGAAGGTGGTGTGTCATATTAGCATTGACATAACACGACACAACACTCATCGAACACTTCTCGACCCTTGTCAGACACGTGTCTATGGCTTAGACAAATATGAAATACATTACAATATTGAATAAAAGTAATTTGAAATCCAATGATAATTACAATATAAATTTATACATATTCTCCTCCTTTAAGCTTCATAGATTAGTGCTACGTTGCATTCTGCTATTGTCTTCGAAATAAAAATTTATATACATGACATATAAATTTCCATGTCAATGTGTTTGTGTTGCGTTGTGTCATGTCACATGTTCATGCTTCTTTGCCAACAACCAAAAAAATCCCTTAGGAACAGCCGTTCAACTCAGCCAAAAATTAAAAAAAGAACTGAAATGCTGCTCAAATGACATTTAAAACTGCACAAAATGCCTTTAAAACATAACACAAATCAGAGAACAATAAGAATAAATCCAAATCCAAGTACCAACAAATAAATCGAACTTACCCAAGAGTGGGTTTCTCCTTCGAGCTGCGCAGACAATATAGAGAAAAGTTAAATTAAATTATATTACATCAATGAATTCAGAAAAAATAATGAAAAAAAAGAAAAAGGCACTAAGCCATAACAAAAGAAATTGTTTCTCCTACCAAATTCTACGGATCACAAAAAGAAGAACAAAAAATAAATAAAAATGAGAATAAATTGAACAAATCATTAGATCAATAACAAATAAACTTAAGAAACAAAACCTATATACGATTTCAATTATATTAGAAAACGAATAGATTAAAGATCCAGTCACCCTAAATCACCAAACTATTACATATATATAATTAAACATGCCTGGGAAATCTTCAATCAAAGATGTTTGGGGAAAAAATGAAAAGAACCCCCCAAAATATATATATATATATATATATTAATTTTTGGACACGATTGATCAAAGAAAAAACAGATCTGACAAACAAGAAATTGAATCTGAAGAAAGCAAAATTAGAGAGAGTGATATGAGAGAGGTACCTCATAAACCAAGATCGAGATGAATCAAAGGAGAGGCGATTCTGCGACTCTCTGAGTTTGAGCTAAGAGGGGAGAGAAAGAGAGGAAGGGAGTGAGATGCGATAAAAAGAGGGAAGGGTTTCGGCAAGGTATGTCTCCCAACAGATATTTACGTTGAGAGAGAGAAAATAATGAGAAAAAAAGCAACAAAGTATTGGTAGGTGTTTGGCATGTATTAAATTTATCGACAATGATAGGTAGCTTTTTTTATATATATATATATATATTTATTTGAGTTATATTTTCTTTTTATTTTTATTTACTTTTTTTTAATTTTTTTATATATTTTTTTTATAAAAAGTTAAAAAGTATATTTATTTAAAACCTTCTAAATCGCTCCTAAAATCGGTCCACCAACTTGTGGCCATCCAACATTTGCCCGCGAACATAAATAGCCTGAATCAGCTCAGGTCGAGCTCGAGTTTAGTCCGTAATTCTAAGCTTAAAGCTTGGGTTGTGTGTTTTGAGATCTGGTTCGAAATCAGGCTTATCAATCTGCTTAAGGCCTAGATCGAGACCTAGTCCATCCGAAGTCTAATATCATTTTCAAGCTATTTTGATAAGAAAAAAATAAAATTTTAGTAAACAAAATTTAAACAGCAAAAAAGAAATGTCCAGGCTTGACCCAGACCCCTGAACAAACTTGGCCCGCCAGTCCACCCAAAGCCCAAGTACTCCTAGGCCTAGGTCGAGCTTTTGAACAAGCAGACCAACTCGATCCGATTTTTTTGTAGGAACGCGCTAGGCCCAACAACAGGCCGGACAATTTTTACACTCTTAATTTACAATAGGCTCTTTGGAGATTTATCATAATTACATGAATTTATTTTTTTTTATAGACTACGAATACATATTTACTTAAAATACAAATTGTCTTTCGTAATTTTGAAAATTACATCTCACCTCTTGACATTTTAAATTTCATAATAATTGACCCATTTTGTTAATAAATCATCAAGTTAATTAATAATTTTTAATGATATCAAAATTTTATTTTAATTAATAAATTAGGTAATTTTATTATTATATAGGAGAGTAATTAAAAATTTTATTTTTTAGTTAATTGTATTAAAAAATTATGATACGGGAATATTTATAATTTTCCAAAACACATAAAGTAATCTATATTTTAAATAAATTTTAAATAATGTATTTATAATTTATCTTTTTCTTTTAAGATTTTTAAAATTACATTAACCTCTCAATATTTATAATTTCACTCTATTCCATTTGGTTTGATCAAGGTGTGAATTCTTTTATCATTTTGAAGGGTACCATCAATATTAATGACTTTAAGATGAAATATTAAATTATCTTTGAATATAAGTAATCTCTTCATGCAAAGTGCAAACATTTTTGACATTTTTTTATAGCGAAATTCAACTTAACTTTGTTTTTTATTCTATACGTAGCCCTTTATGTTTTCACATGCATTTCACAATTACTGTTAATCTTGACAGAATGTCTGACGACACAATTGAATTTACAAATTATATGAGGACGTATAATTATTTTCAAATAATAAGAGATAATTAACACATAAGCCAAATCACAATGGTAAAGCCCTTCAACTTTCCAAATTAGTTTCATGTAGTGCTTTATATTACTATTATTTTTTTTTTTAACATTATATAAGACCTAACTAAATGGTAGTTTTAATAAAATTTACTATCATAAATTCATGTTCCTTAAATAAAAATAAAAAATAAACATACAAAAGAAAGGAGAAAAAAACAAACCAACAAACACCAACTCCCTTACCAACGTAGATATTGAAGTTGGTCGTTGATTTTGTTGATAATAAGAAGAAGGAAAAAAAATTAAAGTTAATTTTATCAATTTATTCATGTGTTGGTAGAATTAATGTAACATAGTGGTTAAAAATTAACCGATTTGATAAATTAAATGAATGAAAATTTAGTTTAAGGACTTAATAAAAAAAAATGCAAAGATAGTGTAATTTATTTAAAAATAAGAAGTGACCAGTGACTAATCTTTTTGCAAGTTAGTAACTTCATTAAAAGTTGTTTTTTTGTAGGTGGGGTTAAAAGCCATATGCTGGTTTTTTAAGCATCAAAATCATTTGGAAAGGTAACTTAACTGAAAGTTACCTGTGAAATTATAGTTATACTCTCCATTGGTCAAAATGAGTCACATGGGTAAATTGTAATTTTTTTTAATTAGGTAGGGATAGTTTGATTATTTTATTATAAGGTGACATCATAAATAAGTATTAATAAAAAAAACTAAATATAAATTTTTATCAACTTCCAAAATTACTTTATAAAAAAAATCAAAAAAATTAATTAAAAGTCAAAAACTAACTCTTAAATATCTTTTCAAAGAGTAATGCTAGAGACCCCAAATATTCTACCAAAAGTTTTATCAAATGTCTCACATGGGTGTGGGACCCACACGGACATGGGTGTGGGACCCACACAATGTGAATCCCATGTGGCTCCCACACCCATGTGAGACATTTAGTAAAACTTTTGATAGAATTTTTAAGACCTCTAACATTTTTGCTTTTCAAATACCCATAGATTTGTGTAACTTCACTTTCTATTTCCCGCCATTCGAATCCTCCGAATCTCATTTCTCATATCAAACTCTTATGTTGTGTTTGGTTGGGGGATTTGGGGAGGAATTTGGAAAGAGAAATAAAAAAGGTAGGTGAAATGTGAATAAAACATGCCTATATTTCACCTAACTTCACACACTTTTTCCCTTTCTCTTTCCAAATCCCTCTCCAAATCCCCTAACCAAACACACCATTAAATACATCCGCCCCCTATAAGTGGTTAATCAATCATTATTTTTTTACTCAAAGGGCAGTCTCCCTCATTCGCTCTAAAATTCGTGTGTTAGAAGTGTTTGGGAGGGTGATTGAATTAAAATAATTTATTAAAAAATAAAAAAATTAAAATAATTAATAAAATAAAATATTATATTTAATTCATAATTATTTATTTTTTTCTTTTACAATCATCAAATCAACTAAAAAAAAATTAACAAACTTTTCAAACATAAGTTTTTTAACCAAACTAAAATAATTAAAATATAAATTAACCAATCAAAATAGTAAACTTCCCAAACATTACCTGTATCTTATTTTATTGTGTTAATATCGTCTTTCTTTTTTCACGTTTGAATTTGTAGACCAAAATATGAAAAAAGAAAAAAGAAAAAAAAATACATGTTACATCTAAATTAAGGTGAAGCAAACACATTGAACAAGACAGTCAGCAAGTGTTGGATATCAATTGACAGGTAAATTTGAAATGGGTAAATTATTTTGCTCATTTTATGTTAATCACTTTGACACTTTATATTAAACTATAAATTAGTGATCGGTGGAAAATATTTCAATTTGAAATTTAAAACACAAAAAAATACAAGTAGAAGTTGGCAAATTATTTTACCCACTTAACCATTCAAAGGACAAGTTTAATGTAAATAGGTGTTTTGAAAAGATTGTTAAAAACTGAATTTTTGACTTTTTTTAATTTTTTTTTGTAAGAGAAGAAGTGAGTTAAAAATTGAAAAATGACTTTTAATTTACTTTCTAAAATAAGTCAAATTACAAGGATCATAAGCTTATGCTCTTATTCATCCAGCAACAAAATAATAAAAGCAAATTAAAAATACACTATTTGATGTATGTTTAGAATATAAATTATCTTATATAATTTAAAAAATTACAAATACACCTTAACAAATTTTTTTATTTAAAAAAATTAATAATTTTTTTTTTGTACTACTCTCTTATACAGTAATAAAATTATTTAAATTATTAATTAAAATATATTAATAAAATTATTAATTAATTTGATAATTTATTAATAAAAATAATAATTTGTTATATAATTATAAACTTGAAGGTATTGCAATCTGATTTCAACTCTACACAAGGAAGAAAGAAAGAAACAAATGTTCAAGGACAAGAGTCCCGGCGTGAAGATACTATGGATCTGGACCATCGGCACTGCCGCCAGTAATCTCTCTCTCTCTCTACTCTCTACTCCCTCTCTAAATATGCATAGCATATACACCACATGTATAAATTTTTTTCTTGGTCTTGCAGTCATGGTTACCAATGTTGTTAGGACTAGGCTAAAAGACATGGAAAAGGTCATGAACGCCGGAGAAGAACGCACTGGTGTTGACTCTGTTGTAGTAATTGACGGTTCACCCAGTTCCCGCGAAGTTGTTGGAGACCAGAAGTCATCATCAGAGGCGGTTTGAATCCCAACATTTTTCAAATTCAATTTCAGTTTTGCACTTGTATTTGTTTCTCAACTTGGTTAGTTTCTTTATGGAATGGATTTCAAATTTTTTGTGGTATATGGGCTTTATGGTATGTGTTGACGGAGAGATTAATGGGGGCATCATGTAGATTACATGTTCGATGAATGGTCTGAATGACATTGTTGAAAGCAGGGACAGAATAGGAAAAGACTATTGGGGGCATGGCCCCTGTTTGTGTAAACATCATTGTTTGCATAGAACTTTAAAAAAATATATATCATTTTATATATAAAATAGCCCAAGTATAAAAAATATATATATCATTCTTCTTCCATCTTGAATTCTATCAAAAAAAACTTATTCATCCCATTAGAAATTGCTTTTATGGTATTTAATTTAATTTAATTTAATTTTTTTACGTATGTAATTTATATATCATATATACATACATGTGTGTTTTGTGTATGGTAAAAAAAATTTCGTTTTACCCCTCCGGTAATGAAATTCTGGTTCCGTCCCTGATTGAAAGTGCATTTGGTTTGCTTATAAACATGCCCTTGGGTATTTTGTTTTAGTCTGCACTAAAGTCTGAAATCAAACCTAGATTGAGGCATTGCTTGGTTGTTTGATTGTGATATGTTAAGAAGTGTTTGCGCAAAAAGCCAAGTTGGTATGAGAGCGAACTTCAAAATTCGGTCGTGGTTACAAATTTTTTTCAGAAGAAGCACAAACTTTGTTCAATGTTCAGAAGAGAATAAGGCTTGCACAACTCCATATAAACAACGGAGGAAGTCGAAGACTGGATTGGGATAAAATCAAAAATATTAGGATCAAACGCCCGTTGGCTCTAAGATTGTTGCCAACAAAGTTTGCTTCTCTAGCAATTTAAAAGGGTTTTATAAGAAACAGTTGTTCGTCTTGTAAGAGGATGATAGATATGAAATGAATGAGTGATGGGAAAATTGAATCTAGAGGAGGTTGTGAGGTTAAAGTGACATAGATATGAAATGAATTATTGTAAACTCACATCACATTCCTAGATTTGAGTAATGGAAAACTAAAAACATAATCAGAGGAGATTGTAAGGTTTAATTGCCACAGAAAAAATTAAGCATATCATGATTATCATCCTTTTGGTTGTGAGCTTCTTCGCTAATTTTTATTATTTTTTGGTTCAATTGATTTTATAATTCCTGATAAAAAAAAAAAATCTTTATAACAATTACAACTTCAGTTTTTTGGTAGATAGATTTGGTTGTGTTTCAACATCAAGTTTAACTTTCTTGGATCCACAATTATTGGTTTGAATGGCATGTGTTGGTGAGTGCTTGGGGGGGGGGGTTGTTTCAATTGATTTTATAATTCCTGATAAAAAAAAATCTTTAGAACAAGTACAACTTCAGTTTTTTGGTAGATAGATTTGTTTGTGTTTCAACATCAAGTTTAGCTTTCTTGGATGCACAATTATTGGTTTGAATGGCATGTGTTGGTGAGTGCTTTTGTGGGGTTATAACTGTTTCTTGAAGGAATATGTGGTCTTTGTGTTTACACTCATGAATGGCAGACCAGCGAGAGCATGCCACATGGCAAAGCTGCTAGATAAAAGTGAGTTGGGTGTGGTAGTGGAGAATTAAGTGGATAAGGGAGTTTTGGTTACTGAGATCATTGGGATAAAATTCCATCCCATTATATCTCGCTCCCACTCTTTTTCTCTATAATCCTAAGGGATAGTAATGTTGGTTGCAAATGGGTAAGCGTTGGAGCAATGGGAAGATGACATGTGGGCATTCCAACTATGCAAGAGGAATTGATTCCTGAGAAAAGGAACTGCAGAACACTCGGGTCTTTAGAGAGTAAAAGACATGGATTGTTGCATGCAAAATGGTAATTGGCACCTACATGTGGGATGCAAAGCATTATTGTAGGAGAAAAGCATGGACCCCAATTGAAAGGAGAATAGCAGCCAATGGTCATAATCAGCCTTTATAAATACAGGAAACGAGAAACTTTGCGAAGGGTCCATCACCACGCAAACTACCAAAACTGTTGTCGAATTCAATCCAACATGGTCTTTACTCATTTTCATGTACTCAATTGCATTCCCAAGCTTTTTCAAACTTTACATCTACCCTTTATTTTCCCAATATTTCTCAAGCTCTATATTTAGCTTTTATTTCCTCAAGTTTTTGTTTTGCTACACTAGTGTTGGTTGCTTAATTTGGGTTTGCAGTGTGAGTTTACAGCATTGTGTTTTTTTTTTATAATCTTCTTCCCTTTTTCACAGATGATTCATAAAGGTATATATTTCACAAGAAGTGAAATTTTTTGTTTTTTTCACGGTGGCATTAGCAATTAGGTTGACACATGTATCTTGTTTCCTCGACTTCATGAGTGGGAAGTTGTAGGTTTCTTGTCCATAAATTAATGAATAGGGAGCTCTAGGTAATATCCTATCTGGCATTTGTTAGTGAAAAGAATGTTTGGACTTGTCTTTACGTACTTCTCCAGGGCTTCTAGAGAAAGAAGTGCTAGGCACCAGCTGATTTTCCTTCTGTTCAAGGCTCCACTGGATAGATTGTCATTCATTCTGCCTTGTTCTCTTCTTCGGCATTTAGGCTGACATAGAATATCTAGCTGTGTACTCCTTACAACTACCCAAACTTCACTGACAAGGAGGGGCTTGTTATACTCTTTCACTATTCAATTCAGTGTATTGGTTCTTCTATTTGTAGGGGGCCTTGTGAATCTCCCGTGGAACGAAGGCACATTCTCGCTTCAGAGGATGGTGAGTTTATCGAAGATAAAAAAAAGTTCTAGACCCTTTTCTTATTTCTTATGTCATTTTTTTTAGTACGGGGAATTATTGCCCCGAGTTCATGTGCCTCTTTATGATTTTTACAAAGTAGAAAGAAAACACTTCATTATTTTCCACTCTAGGGCTCAAAAGGTGTATTGCACTCTAAGTAGGCTTCTTATGAGAAGATTTATGTTTGTTGTTCTGATCATTCAATGATTTCAGTAGATCTGCACAATGTTCTCCGGGACACTTGCATTTCCTAATACATCATATCTCATGAATTCCTCCACGATTCCTATGTGACCAGAAGACATATACAATCCCGGACTTGGGGTGGCTGTTGTGCTATGCCTTTTGCACAGCAAACACTATTGTGCAGCCAAATGGGCCAGGGCCTATTTTGATGATTTGAACCGTTCACATTTTAGAGTATATCGAGTAGAATATATATGGAAAAAATTAAGTTAATCAGATATCGTTAATCCTTTCATCCACTCACATATGTATTACACAAAAATAAATGACAATTGTGATTTAAAGTATTAAAATGAATACAAATGTGAGTGGACAAAAGGGTTAATGATATCCAATTAACTTGATTTTTTGCAGATATGTTCTACTCGATGTATTCTAAAATGTGAATGGTTTGGATCAACAAAATAAGTCCCGAAATGAACCCATTTAGTTATACAACAGTGGTTGTTGTGCCCCTTGCACAGTAACCATTCCAAATCCATTACATCTGGAAAATTTTATTTCCACATACTTAATTGTCTCAATCGACATTATTTCTCAGTATACACATTTTGTAATTTAATTATTAATTAATTTTCTCAATCCACACAATAAATGTATCAATTTTACCCTTCACTCATACGATTGTACACATACCCCTTCAACCTTCCATCCACACACTTGTCCCTCCTTCCATACACACGGCTACTGCTACGATTTGGAAATTTGTAGACTCACAGTGCTACAACAGTCAAAGTGAAGACCCATAGTGAATAACTTTGCTATATTGAAGATCTCCATTCCATTGAAGACCCCATTGAAGACCTCTATTGACAACATTATTGAAGAGACTCCATTAAATTATCATTACTACTAGCTGTGGTCTTTAGATAAACCATTAAGTGGAAGAAGAAAAAAATGTTGGAGAGGAAAACACACAATTAATATGATGTTCCGAAAAGATATTAGTTGTTTAGAACATTGTATGTTTTCTTACAGTGATTTCAATATTTTGTTTAATTTCATTTTCATTCCAGAAAAAAAAAACAAAAAAAGAAAAAAAAAAACGAATCAAACAATTACGTACTAAGATGCAACAACGAATGACTGATTGGTCTGGTTTTTTATGATAAACTGTAGAAAGCTTATGGACTCGTTGGCTATGTTTTTGTTTTCTTTGTTTTTGTTGTTGTAGGAGAGGGTTCGATAAAGGAGTTGGAAAATTCGAAGATCTTCAAGATCCTTGAAGAACAACTTCGAATTCTCTAGAATATGATGAGAGGCTTAGATTCTTCAATAATCTCAACTTAGGAACCCGAGTGTCTCGGATCTCTAGGCTTGCTTAATACCCTTTCGAGTCCGGGCTCGAGTAAGTCTCTAGGTTCGTGGATCCGAACCCTTTCGAGGCTTAGAGCGATTCAATCCGTTTGATGGCGATAAATCTCGGCCCACCGATTCTTGGACTTGCGATAAATTCGGGCCCACTAATCTTGGGCTATTGGGCCTAAATAATTTAGTGGGCTCAAATTAGCCCCTCTTACAGTTGTGTTTTGAAATAAAAAATTGTGGAAGTAAGACAAAAACGATTTAAATAATAGAGTATAAATTTAAAGATTAAAGCAATATGAGAGATGTTTTGAGAGTATTATTTTGCAAGTCATAAAAGAGTATAGAGTATGTAACAAGCAATGTGACAATAATAGAAAAATTAAGATTTACTTTTTTTAAACTCAAAAGGTATACATTGAGATTTTTTTATTCTTAAAAGATGTGTACACTGAATTTTTTCATAAAATATTATGAATGTTATTGAATGTCTTTTATAATTATTTTTATTTAACCTATAATTATATGTCATAATGTCACTAAATTAATGTTTCATTAAATATATGTCCTAAACTACCTACGTGTCAGCAAATAGAATTTCCCGCTCCGTCCCTAGATATAAAGGACAGACAAAAATTTCGGCCTTGCCAAAATTATCGCATTGTCCCTTTGCTAATATAATCATCATCTCTCAGCATAATCATCATCCCATATGCACAACGGTCTCATCATATACGTCAGTTTTGTCAAAATTGCTTGGCTACTTTTTTATATTATATTTGCTTTTGATAAATCATATTTATCTTTATTGAGATTTAAAATATATATAATTATAACTCTCGGACGTTCGACATAATTATATTAACGTCTTTTAAAATTTTAAC